ATATTGAGTTAGCTCTTGATGCATTGGAAATGGAGTTGAACATATAAGGGCACCACTACCTTCGATAGTTGAAATCCAGCACGGGATATAAGGTATAATAACTGTAATAAAGTAATAGACTACTCGTGGTCCTTGATGAACGAAATGAATTAACATTTTATTTTGAAAAGAGTATCACAATTTATATACAGCCAGATCAAAATACATTATTATCCAATTAGCTGTTGTCTGCACGGAAGTATTTTGATATTTGTTTTCAAGAGATGTTAGCTACATTGTCAAAGTTCTTCAAGTATTTAAATTTAGGAGTAATTAAATCTGCCACCAGCAGCCATCTTAAATGATGCAAACCATCATAAGTTTGATTTCGAGATACTTCAGCATAGTAGGCAGCAGAAATATTAAAATTATTTCCATCTTTGTCGTGAGAAAAGATAGAAAACTCATCCTAATATTTCATTTCGGGAAGTGTCCTCACACACTTCTCGAGCAATAACTTGAAAATCGAACAATCTGTATGATAGTGCTCGAAAAGGGTCCGCCAGAGAAGTTATTGCTCTGCCACCAATAATTGGCATGACAGTATGCGGTACCATGGCACTGTTTTATGTTCAAAATTTCAACAGCTATTTTAGAAAGGATCAAGAATAAATCTAAATAATTACTTCTTAACTAAGTTTTTATATCGATAAAAATACAAAATTATTAGACAACACAGTGGCTACCAAATCATTCCAACAAATACGAGTAAATTTTAAACATTTGGTAAGGCAATTGCTTTCTTTCCTGCGAGTAGCACTTTCTTTAAGTGCAGATGATTTTTGTTTAAAGCAAAATATTTCTAATCAGATTAATAATGGAATTGAAAAGGTAGATGGTTAAACAGCTATTTGATCGCAGACTTTCTGTAGTTAAAATCTTTTGGGTTTAACAGAACATTTTTACATAGAACTATAAATCCATTACTGGTTATTAATAGCAGTAAAGATCAATCCATGTCTGGTCATTCAAGTTCAGTTCGTACAAAAGAGCGCATTAAAAGAAACAACGTTTTGCTAATACAATGGCAGTAGTTGTAGAACTATACAATTATATTAAATGAAAACCTGGGTTTTCGCCCTTATTGCAAAAGAAAACTTTTAAGGTTTGACTACAGCACACAAATTAAAAAGGTTACTAAGATGTAAGAAATTACTGAACTGGCACGGTATCAAAAAAGTTTAAAGAACTTTTCTGATGAGAAAATATTTTGTGTAGAACAAAGTTATGACGCTAAAAATAATGTTGTATATTCAGCATCCTTCAATGATTATATACCTGAAAATATTCGAACTATACAATGCTTTCAGAAAAAGAGTTTTGCAATGGTTTCGGATACAGTATATGATAAAGGAAAATTTTCTTTGAAATTCATCGATAAAGGGGAAAAAATCAGTGCTAAATATTACAAAAAGGAAGTATTGGATAGACTTTTAATGCCACATGCAGACAGATAGTATCCAAAAAAATATTGAATATTTCAGCAAGATTCTGCATCATCGCTCAGAGCCAAAACACTGGCTTTACTCCATGTCAATTGCCTGAAGTTTATCAAGCAAGACAATTGGTCACCTTCTTCGCTGGATCTAAAACCTTTATAGACTAGTGTATTCATGAGATATAAGAGTCTAAAGTTGATACTAAGCACTACAGAAGTTAGGACTCACTCAGAGTTTCTTCATTGCGTGAATGGAACAAATTACCTCTTAAAAATTAATTCGTGCCGTCATCGGACATTACTGTAAAAGATTACCTTTGTAATTGATAAAGATGGTCGATTCGAATAATATTATTTTAAGGTATTTGTGAATTTATAATTTTCTATTTTATACTTGTACAATAAAATTATTAGATATTTGTAACAGTATTTTGTAGCTCCCTGTATATATTATTACACTTAAATTATTACTTAAGACAACCTAACAAAATGAATTAAAATAGACCACAATAGTTTAGAAATACCCACATAAGAGAAATAAAAATATAGACGAGTGAGCTCAGATTGCTAAATAATTCAGATTTGGTAAGCAAAAGTGGGGAACCTACTATGTATGTATTTAAAAATGGACTGAGTTGAATTTGAAAACAAGCCCTTGCTCGATCGCAAATTTTAATTAAGTGGTCAAGCTCAAAAACTTAAGGTAATTGTAGCAATGTATAGCTTAAAAAAATTTAGTATATGTGTTTAACACTTTTTTTTTATACTTATTTTATTATTGAAAAAAAAAATTCTGGAAATGCCGATACCTACTGCAGGGTTTTTCCTTGAACTGTTCCCATATAATGTGTAATCCCTATACAGAAATGCGTGAAATGTTTTGTAGCATGAAAGAAATGTAAAATGTTGCATGTAAGGAACCTTAAATCTTTTTATACCGGTTAGCTTCAAAGTACTGTTTTTTCCTCCAACCAGTTATAATTTTTTTAAGTCAGCATCAAGCAAAAGTACTAGATTCTCAGAGCAGTTGAAATGATAAAAAATTCTATCTTGTGTATTAGGTTGTAGTATATATTGATATGCATACAGTATATATAGATTTTTTCTTTGCAACGCTAATTTCTCGGTTAAAATAAATTTCAATGCACATTAATAGGTTGTAGTATATATTGATATGCATACAGTATATATAGATTTTTTCTTTGCAACGCTAATTTCTCGGTTAAAATAAATTTCAATGCACATTAATACGATTTCAGAAAAAAACTAGCTGGTCATAAACAAATGCATTAATTGGAACAGCTTTGATTTTTTAAAAGACAAAAATAAGTTTTAAGAGTGGGACCAAAGAGATAATTTTTTAGTCCCAATCCTAAAAAGTGATACTAATAAAATGTATAAGTACTTAATCTTTGTTGATTTTTTAATAAGTTCTGAATACTTCAAATCATCACTTTACACCAACTTATGTAACCATCAGTACTATAATTAGTAAAACTTATCAAGCTGAAAAGGTTGCTCAATTTTGTTGCATCACATGTAAAACAACTCAGCACTCAAATTATAATAGTAAAATAACATAAAAAAGGGGGGCAGTAGTAATCTCATAAAAATATTTATACTTGTAATTGGAATCGATCGAATTAAATTAATATTATAAACCTATTGTATTAAATTTTACTTGTAAATAACAAAGTCATACCTATTTCATTCCAATTCATGCAATACTTAGTACTTCATGAGCCAATCTAAAAGACCAACATTTTTACAAACCTAGAATTACTACCACAGTCATTTTGGCCATTAAAAGAAAAAAATAGTTGATTTTTATTTCAATATCATTATAAAAAGAGTCCTCAATAATATTAAGATTCTGCTGTATTTCCAATAGTATTTTTTAACACAAAAATGTACCCTAATTTTCAGGAAGAATAATATCATAAAATAGTTCAATTTTATTATAGATATTAACACATGATTTGAAATAAAAAGTTCCTCATAAAAATTTCTTAATGTCTTCTCCAAGACGTTTAGGCATGAAAAACAGTTCTTTTCCGAAAAAAAAAGAAGCTTTTATTATGTTTATTACTGATAATTTTAGAAAAGTCAAAGCGATATGCAGGTAGTTTCTTTGATGAACAACATAAAAACTTAATTTGTGGACAATGCTCAAAATATTAGTCCGCCAAGTAATTTGCAAAAAGTTGCAACTTTAAAAAAATTCACACAAGAATTTACAGTTACAAAATTTTGAAGAAGCGTTTCAAATTGGCCATCTTGTAGAAGCTGTTCTGAATGCATACAGTCAGCTTATTTAGTTGGAGCATATTTACGTCACAACTAATAAAATTGAAAAAGAAAAAAATTACTTAATGAGAGAGATTTGTAGGGTTATAAACTATGTTCCTCCCTCTATAGTATTAATTATAAGCTCACCGGACAAAAAATTAGTCATCCTAGTGCGCAAACATCGATGAATCCTTAGGCTTCGTTAGATGACGCAGTGGTCAAGTGACATGCTCAACTGCATGCACTCTGCTTCAACCTGATCAAAGACAAGTAGCTATCAGTGAGATATTTTTGTTTGAAGTGGAAATTGTGTGTAAATATGGGTAAGAGTAAGGATGTGATAGAGTGGTAAAAAGGGGCAATTGAGTTTGGCCGTGCCAATGGTTATATGGTGAATAAAGTTGCTGGATTTGTTGGCGTTTCAAAGCTGACTGATCAACGTGTCTACAAGCAGTGGTGTAATATACGTGGTCATGAAAGATGCCGTCAGAATTGTGGTCGGAAAAAGATCCTGCATGAAAGTGACCGGAGACGCGTTTCACGACTTTTCAATCAAAATCGCTTCCAAACTGATAGGATTTACTTCAGTTACTAAATGAAGATCCATCCCAGTCTTTTAGTGAGAAAAAATTGCGAATGGAGCTCCATGCAATGAACATATGGAGCCTAACATCTCGTAAGAGGTCATTGCTCGCACTTGCACATAAAGCTGTGCGACTTCAGTGGGCTAGAAGTCACCGAACATGGGCAGTTGCTGATTGGCGGAATGTAATATGGTCTGAAGAATCACGTTTTTGCATTTATTCAAAAGAAGCACATCTGCAAGTGCAACGCAGACAAGATGAAGCATTTCATCCTGACTGAGTGCAAGCATAGGTTCAAGCCGGAGGTAGGTCCGTCATGACTTAGGGGTGTTAATCTTATTATGGATTGGGCTCCTAACTGAGGGGGCAACTAACACGATCCAACATGTTTATTTGAAAGTTCTGGACAATTAGGAGTAGCCTTTCAGTCACACTCTTCACGTAAAGTGTGTTGTCGATACCTCTATTTTTCGAGATGACAACAGCAAAGTTCATGGGGCTGGAAGTATATGTGACTGGTTTTATGAACACTCAGACACTCAATTACATCTCGGCTGGCCAACAAAATCACCTGACTTGAACCCAATTGAAAATTTGTGCAACATGTTAGAACAACGGGTAAAATGCCAAAATCAGCATTCTCACAATTTGGTGAATTTGCGCAATCAAATCCTCAACGAGGGGCTTAAACTGGATTTGACGTACTTGCAAAACCTTGTGGGCTCACTTCCTAATCGAATCCAGGCGGTCATCAAATCTAAAGGCGGTGTTACACATTATTAAATGATCTTTTTCATGACTTCTCTAAGGGTGACTAATTTTTTGTCCGGTGAGCTTACAAGTTCAAAGCATTTTTTTTGTTAATATCACTATATAGTAGTGATTTTATACCAAAACTTTTGACAAAAAATATGTTGTAACTTCGATAATTTGTGAAAGTTCAAAACAATTTAACTCTATTACACCAAATTCTACTAAAGACCAAGTTTTCAGAATGTAAAAAATAATTGCCCATTTTAATATTTTTTTCTCTTACAAAAAAAAAAAAACATATCCATTATTTTTTAATGACATTTACCTAGCTGCATATTTTTGCTCTTATTTTCAAAAACATATAAAACCATTAAAAAAATATTTGGTCTCAAGTTCTGCAGCCAGCCAAACTTAATCAATACTCATCAAGTTTATTTGCAATTGGCTGAATTAATTTGCAGTGTTTTACACAGTAAGAATTGTTTAGGTCCTCTTAAAAAACACAGATTAGAGTTTTCCTCAAAATGTTACCATTAATCAGAAAGAAAGGCAAAAGAATTGTTTCTAAGTAATATGTAAGTCCAAACGTCGTTTAACAACCAACACAATTTTTGGGTTTTCGACTACTAAAGTTCAACTATGTAGCCTTGTAATTTAGAACTCAATTCAGAAGACAAGGAAAATCTTAGATCAAGTATTGGGAGAAATTTGCCTTCTTGGAGGAGTTTTTGATGGAACTAACCCACATTTGCGTTACATAAAGAGGAAGACCACGAGAACCTCCCATGGTAAGCTTGACGGCAAGGGGACTCTAACCCATGATCCGTCAACCACTGAGGATATTTCACGCCAGCACCGTATTTAGTGCTAGCCGAATGTGGAATTCGTAACAACCAGCCATCACTGGGATTCGAACTCTCTTCACCTCATTGGAAGGCGAACGCTTTATCCCCTGAGCCATCACTGCTCAAGCCCATATCATGAAACGATCCCCCCCCCAAAAAAAAGTTGCATGTTCCGAGGGGTCAGTAAGCAGGTGAATCTTAGTGAGGAAAAAAAACTCTCAGTGCTGATCTTGTCAAGCGCATGTGAAAATAAAGTAAGAGATAAGCATTGAAAGAGAAAGATCATTCTGTTCGAATTAATGGACTTAAATCTCCGTTGCGGTAACCTTGGCTATCAATATTTGATTGGTTCAATTGCAAATAAATTTTGCTTATGTAATTTACGAAACATTAAATGAAACAAAAACTTAAGGGATAAACTATAATAAAAAAGTCAAATTAAGTAAGGCACAAAAAATCAGAGTAAATACCTTAACATCACAACAGTTTATTCCTATCTCATAGCATTCTCTGCAAATAACAGCAAGAATGAAGAACAGATAATGAAGATAATGTACAACTATTAAAAATAATCAAATTCATGCACCAGCCAACTTCTTTAGTTCTGCATCAGCAGCAGCTTTCTTTTCTTTTTTTCTACCTTTCAATAGTTTTTCTCGTTCAAGTTCATTAAGATCAGGGTTGATTTTGGTAAAAACTCCAGTACCAAAGGTAGTCATACCATCTCTTAATGTAAATCGTTGGCCATGCTCCATAACCATTGGTTTGATAAACTTCATAGTGATTCTGGAAAACAACAAGATAATTTAAATTTAAAAAAAAGCAAGCTAAAAATTTTGTTGAAAAAAATTATAATTAACTTTGAAAAGCAAGGGTGAACAATTCTATTGGTTTTTCGTCTATCTTAAGTATCTTTAAGTTGAAAAATGCTAATTTTAGATATCACTTTTTTTTAAATCAGGAAATAGCATATGCAGGGGTGATTGTGGGCCCAATTCAAAAATCCTGAAAATGTCTTGAGTAAATCATTCAAAAAATTAATATCTTTATAAATTTAAATCAATGAAATTTTCAAAACATTATATTCTAAATGAATTATATGCAGCATAATTTAAATGAATAATTATGCGTAAGTTTACTGTTATCTCTAATCACATTTATTATTCTACCAGAAAAAATATTTACAAATGAAAGAGATGCCAAGTATAAATTCTAGCTCTAATATTTTTCAATAAAATATACAAGAGTTTCTATTTATAAATGTGAATGGTGATTTTTTGAAACTTCTGAACTTAGGATTTCCAGAAACTTTCGGATCGCGGTTAGCGAAAAACCCGGATTTCTTCCAAAGCACAATCACCTCTGCATATGTAAAATAGTAATAAAGATAAAAAGAAATAAATTCCCACTTTCTAAATTAAATTTATTTAGATGACACTTTTAAACTTAAAACAATAATCTATTGTTTTTAAAACAAGCTGAGTGATCAATTTGATAATTTTTTTAAGAAAATTACAAAAACTTTTTTTGAAAGTACAACTTTATCTGGTTTGTATCTTCAGTCAACAAATTCAATATCAGTATAACTTGACCAAACGACTTGCATTTGATTCATATAATTTTGAAATGTTCTACCACTGTAAAAGATAAAACTAGGTTTTCAGAATATCACAAGTTAGTCATCTTTTCTAAATCTGGTACAAAAAATATGGCGAAAAATGAAACAGTTGAAATATTACTTAAATTATGTTTTTTCAGCATGAATAAAATATTCTTAATATATATATATATATATATATACCCTCCAACTTATGAGGATTTTGAAAATAATTCTTTCTAGTGGTAGCGAACCAAAGTAGAAATTTTTAAAGCAAATGGATNTAAAATAGTTTCAGAATTACGCATGACTTTGTCGATGAAATGACAATGTCGACGAAATGACCCTGTCTATGAAATGACCCTGTCGACGTAATAACCTTGGCAAAGATATGACCCTGTCAATGAAATGACGCTGTCGACGGAATGACAATGTGGACGAAATGACCTTATCGACGAAATGACTCTGTCGAGGAAATGACCATGTGGACGAAATGACCTAGTCGATGAAATGGTGTGTCGATGAAATTGTCTGTCGATGAAGTGATTGTCGATGAAATGAACCAGACCCCTAATATTCTACACTTTACAATAATCATCCTGAAAATGTTGGTGAAAACCAGGGCTAAGGATAATAGAAGGGATTCTATTCTCTTTGAATTCTAATCTCTTTGAAGAGATTTAAGAAAGAAAATATTTATTTAAACTAAACATTTCTGGGAAATGAATTGTATTCAAAATTATTAATTTAGAAATTATTTATAAAGACAACACTTATTGAACAAAAAAAAAGCTTCAATTACGAAAAAATATTTTTTTAAACCAAAAACACAAATTGATCGACTAATAATTAATTATTATTGTCTTTTAATATTTTTCTTTTATTTCTATAGGTGCTGTTGAAAAAAACAACTCGTTAGTAGTGTTTTCTGCCGTCATCGCTTCTATTGGAGGAATTCTTTTTGGCTATGATATAGGCATGGATCATTTTGTTTCTATAGGATGCTTCAATGTAATTTGGCCGAAATCAACCTGTCCTCTAGTGAGGGGACACTAATCCATTCTGCACACATTTCAAAAGACTACCTCAAATATCCTGTAGTAGTACTTGTGTGCAAATAATATATATATATATATATATATACATACAGTGAACTCTCGCTACAACGATATCCAATACAACAATAACTCCCTTTATTACAATGATGTTCCGTGGTTCCGACGAACTCGCATATGAATTAATGTCAGGCTCCTCTCAATATTACGATATTCTCTGATACGATAAACCCCAGTAAAACTATTTTTTCCCCTAATTTCAACCTTATTTTTTCCATTTATTATTTGTTTTCAAATAATGTAAAAAAATCTTATTTTATCATCTTTTGTCATTTTTTCCATATTTTCTGACAAGAGAAGACTACTGTTGACCACCCCAAGAGCTTCCATTCTTAGAATTGCCTCCCTATCTCTTAAGACACAGATGTAACATTCCTATCTGATTTCATTTTCTTCATGTTAAACGCTGATCATGAGTCTCAAATAACCACAAGCATCACAATAAACACCTGAAAGAGAATTTTTTTCAGTAGAGAGTGGGGGAAGCACCATTCACATTAATTGGCCAACTTGCACATTTTCCATGGAAAAGTAATTCAAAAGGTTAATGCAAGGTAAGTAACATAAAAGAAAAAGGGGAATATCGTACTGCCTCTTTAATAAAAAAAATTTTTTTACATAAGAAATCTAAAAAAAAAAAGAAAAAAAAATATTCCAAAGATAAATGTAAAATAAAACATATTTTGAAGTTTTTTGCAAAAGAGATAACATAAGTCTTTTGTTACAGCAACATTTTACGTAAGGTTACACATTTTCATTTATTATATCCATTCAATAAAATAATTTCTTTATTTTGCCGATAGTTTTCGTTTGCAAAATTCTTCTCATTTAGCTACGAGATTTCCATAACTTAAATATTTTTTTTGTGGTTATTTATTTAACATTTTGAGTCTCAAATTTACTTCTCTTAGAGATTCTAGTAAGTTTTTCATCCTTAACTAATAACTTTCATCCTTAACATCCTCTTTATTTATATTCTGTTGTATGTACTTGGTACATTCTTGCTTTTTTTTTACCTACTCCATTGGTATTTTTTTTCTCCAAAGAATACATTACAGTTCGCATCCAGTCAATGTTTCTCTTTTCACTGCTTGTTTCCTAGTTTTTCACAGCTTTTTAGAGAAGAATGTCATAGAATCCTAGTTTAAGACTCAGTTTTTTCAAATTTCCAGTCAGAAAAAGGTGAAACTTTTCTTTACTTACATTTATCATTTGGAGTTCCCTAAGCCAATCACAGGCTTTATTTCATTATATTTCCAGCCAATTATTTTTTAACTGGACATCACTCCTCTTAAGGGTGTCTTCAGTTCTTTCTGATAGCAACTTTTTAAGTATGCACTACTTAACCTGATAATTGTGCTACTCGCCCTTAATATGTTTGAAAGTGTGCACCATCTCTTTTCTTTTTCGGACATGGGTGCTTCATCTGTACAGCACAATGCCTTGCAGCTTTGATTTATTTTAAAAGCTTTAACATTATAAGCCATTAAATAACTTAAAAATTTTAAATTTCTTAAAAAAAATTTCAATTTATTGAATTTGATACAAATCTACTTAAGCTTTTGAATTTATCAACACATTTATCTCAAACAATTTTTAAGAGGTAAAAATTTGAAAAATATAATTTTGACTACAGTTTTATGATTTAAATGATTATGCATTACCAGGAGTGATTGTGAGCCCAACTAAAAAAATCCTGAAAATTTCTCAAGTAAAATCATTAATGACGCATTTAAAAAAAATAATTGTCTTAAATCATTGATATTTTCACAATATGAAATTCTAAATAAATTATATGCAGCGCAATTTAAATTAATAATTTAGTACAAATTTATTTTTATCTCTCATCACATTTATTATTCTAGCAGAAAAAATATTTACAAATGAAAGAGATGCCAAGTATAAATTCTAGTTACAATATTTTTAATAAAATATAAAAGAATTTTTATACATAAATGTGATCAATGATTTCTTGAATCTTCCGGACCTTGGATTTCCGGATCAAGGGGGAGCGAAAAATCCGGAATTTTTCCTCTGCATTGCTTAATAATGGTTCTTTTAAATCTTTGATTCAATTAAATGGACCCTTTTCATACCTAATCATAGTTGTCCAGACATCCCACATTGGACCAATGCCTTTATTTAAATCCATCCTATTCTGCTGTGTTCTATTTCTGACACTTGAGTGCTGTTTTCTTTCCTGGATAACAAGAAAGTCTGTATCCACTGAATCTATCCATTTTAAATAAGGTCTTTCATTTTTATAGTTTGTTAATGATTTAAAAATAGAATTTTTTTTTCTTCTTTAATGTGGAATCCATTCTAAATATATATACTACCCAGTTCAGTTAATTAATTTTTATGTCTTACAATATCTGGCTGTGCGCGGATTTTACAAAGCTCAAAGTTAATAAGTATAGCCCGGAGTCTCTATTCCACTAAAAATGGCCCCCTGAATGGTTTGCATATGGCATTTCAATACATTTTACTAGTTTTGAAAAATAAAATTTCTAGCAAAGGTTATATTGTTTGCTTATGGGAAATTTAAGCTTATATTTTACTATTCATATCATTTTTCTTCAGCTATCAACATGAATTTTTTTTATATATTGCACCCAACTCAAATAGACTTCCTGTATTTCCCAGGAAGAAAGTAGAACCCTTGAATGAACAAATGTAAATAGCTAGTTGATTTCAATAAAATAGTTATATGATTTAAATTTTATACAGAAATTCTTTTCAATATCTTAAAGAGTTGGCTACCTTTGAAAAAAAAAAAGATTAAGTTTAGGGAAAAAGAGTCTGAGGTAAAATGTCTAAGATTCATAAATCAAAAGATAATTCACTCACTTGAGCCTGACAGAAATCATGTTGCTTAGCAGTACCAGGTTGGCACAGCATCATTCCTCGTCGAACATCATCACGCTTCACACCTCTCACTAAGGCACCCAATTGATCACCAGCTTGAGCTTCTTCTAAAACTTGCTTAAACATTTCAATACCTATTTTGTCAAAATGTTTCAATGAAAAAACATTTCAAAAACAAATCTTTGAAATGAAGAAACAATATTCTTCAAATAATGCTATTGATAAAAGAAAGATTGTCAAGATTTGTATTTCACGTTAAGTTTTTTTAAAAATCAATAATACATAGGGTATTGGATTAATACAATCAATAAATTTCAGAAAACAATCATTAGGTCAATTGTAATTAAAAATACTTAATAACACTTAATATTCTTACATAACAAGGGTAAAAACTACTGTATTTTAATTTTGAGAAAAAGTAATTTTAAGCCCATACAGCCTTGAGAAATGCTTACTAGTAGCAACATCTAAATATTCCTTTTACAAAACATAAATAAAAAAATAATTCTGAATCTCAAAATATTCATCATGAGAAGTGGAGGTAAAAACTGCATTTTAACAAAATTTTTACACAATTTCATAACTTGTTTATGATTTTCAGAAAAAACTTAAATTTCTTTTTTATTTTTTTTATAAGGAATACTTAAAAAAAAATTGATTTTTAAGTAACAGGAAAAAAGTTTTATTTTCTTTAACAACAGATAAATTTTACTTTACATATAACAAAAGTTTTTGTTCTAGATTATGATGTCACAGAACACAGTCTGTTAATGACACTGTAACAGTAAATACAATAAAAATGATTGGCCAGTAATAGTGAGAGTTAGTGATCGAAGCGACAGTATAAATAAAATTAGTCTCCGTAAATTAAGTTGCAAATTTGAGAAATGCATTTTTATATTGATTTTGATGCAATTTAGTTATTTAAACAAAAGAGTCATTAAACTAAACCATTATAATTTTTTTCTAATTTTAAAATTTCTATTAATATTTCAGATTACTAAAAAGTCAAATATTTTTTATGTAATCAAAATTAGAATTCCTTTCTTTATAATTGAATGAAGAATTTTCATAAGTAAATGCTTCTGTAAATAGTTATTTTATGAATAGCGCTTAGTATAATGCAAAATTTTTCATACCTGTTATAGTTGCATCAAACTGTTTCTTATATCCAATTATTTCACTCTTCATTCCTTTTTTGATTGTGCCCCGTTCAAGACGCCCAGTGACGACTGTTCCACGCCCTTAAAAATATTTATTTCTTATGATTATTTAGTCCAAGAACATACATAAAAATAATCAACACTAGAATAAAAAGGCATTTATTTTCAACACATGTATCCTCAGTGCAAGAGGTTCACAAATAATAATTAAATGTCATANTATATATATGGCGTGGGAAATGCCAGAAAAGCTTACTTTTCTGAGCAAAATGACTCATTATATTATAATTAGATTTTCGAATGCATCCCCTAGAAAATTATCTAATTTTAAGTTACAGCCTATTACAGCCGCAACATTCATTTTATCAATATAATTGCAATTATGGAATAATTACAGAAGTAGACAGTCAACGGAGATGAAAAATTTTGTTTTAATTTTTAACATAACATTTAACAGGCAAATTGTTTTTTTCTAAGTGTTTCTTGATTTCAAAATAATCAATGCAGCCTCAGAAAATCAAAGCACGTTTTACCCTAAGGAACAAAAATATTTGAAACTAATGCAGCTCAGCCTAATTGAAACTGGAGTAATAAGATAAAACTATCTAAAGTAATATATATCTCTCAAGAAAACAGAAAGACAAAACATAATTTCAGTTTTGTTTCTCGACAGTTTTCAACATAATCACATCTTGAAAGCATTGCAGTTTTAGGAAATAGTTATGCATTAAAAAGAAAAACTGATCAATGTGTACAGTAGCAAAAGAATTAAAAGACAAAAATAGTAGGAAACATTATACAGGGGATAATCAATGTTCTTTTAATAATTAGTATCTTTTAAAAAAATAATAATTCAACAAAGAAAAATTTTCTGGATATTTTATTATCTAGAATCTAGGTTAGCAAGTTTCTGCCGAGATGGTTAAAACCACTGGTAGAAACCGGTTAAAACTGGCATGGCAGAAATTCAGAAAATGACATAAAAGTACTGAGATTGACATATAATGGATAATTCATAGAAAAAACAATTAAATGCTAAACAAAGTACAATTTATTTACAAAATTATCACCATTCAAGATCAAATATTACATTGTTTGCACTCTGCAGTAATCTATAACTAAAGGTAAGTTTTGATGTAGTTTTGAAGATAAACAATTTCTCAAATTGCTATGCACGAAGGAGAAATTTGAGAAGATTCTCCAAGTCCGGCAGAGTTTAATATAATAAACTAAAATCTAGTATTTATATTTATTATTACAATACTTTATTCGTTATTTTATGTAAATATTTGATATGCTGCACTCTTTATATTTAATATAAACAAAATAATATACATTTGCAAACAATGAATTAAAAAGTTTGTTACAGTTACATGGAGTTACATTTTTCAGTTTACTTAAACAAAATGTCATTAAGCAATTACCAGAACTAATATAGAAGTTTTTTTAGTTTCTGCCAGTTTTTACCGGTTATAACCAATTTCTGCCACTGGCATGGCAAAAACCAGTTTCTGCTGGCAAAAAGCCAACCCTGTCTAGAATAATTCTAGTCCTGATTAAAAAGGAGAACTGAACTCAGAAGTAGTTATAATTTCAATCTTACAAAAAAAAAAAAAGTTTAAAATGCACAATATAATATTTTTCTTATTACCTGGAATTGTATGAACATGTTCAATTGGTAGCAGAAAAGGTTTGTCAAGATCTCGAACTGGATTAGGGATATATTCATCAATAGTCCCAAGAAGCTTCATAATTGCATCAGCTCCTTTTTCTGGGTTTTTCCCCTAATATTTAATAATATCAATAACTGGAAGTAAATGGGCTAAAAATTATAATCAAACAAATGAAAAATAACAGCTAACTCACTTCTAAAGCATTTAGAGCAGATCCATGAATAAAAGGAATATCATCCCCTTTATAGCCAATTTCAGACATTAGTTCTCTTAACTCCATTTCCACCAACTCTATCATTTCTTGGTCAGCACTGTCTACTTTATTTATAAAAACAACAATGTGTTCAATACCAATCTGAATAATAAAGAAAAGAAAATTAGTACAAAAACTACGAATAACTATTTTTAGGAGAATAATAAATAGATATACACAATTATTACAGGATAAATATTAAATAGAGTGAGATATTTGGTGCCTATTAATGCAGTTAGATACAGACAAAAAGGATTAATTAGACTTCCTTTTCCCTTGTAATGGCGTACTTCACATCCTTTGATGAATACATAATATTTTAATGGTCAAAACAGTGTTTACGTATTACATTTAGCATTATGCAAACCATTTTAATTTATTTTAGAAAGTGAATAAAACTACAATGTAATTTTTATGAAAGTTAGCATAAACAACAAAATTTTGTAACATTCTGTAGATTGACAACATTAAAATACACCAATCAATTAACATTATTAGCCAAATTGCATTCTATTTACATTTTTGCTTGATGATTATTTTTGTAGCAATCTCACAGAGTCATCAACTGCAACATAAGAGTTTTCAATATTTAATAATTTGCAATTCTTTAATTTTCCAATTAAACTAACAGAAGCTTATTTTCATATAATTAATATACTTTAAAATGCATATGAAAAGTTGATGAAAAATATGCATAAATTTCAGACCATTGAGAGCAAAAATCTTGATTTTTAATATCTCATTTATTAAAAAAAATAACATGCTTTAATAATAATAAAAATACATCGTAATCAAGCTGAATAAAAAAATAATAATGGTAAAGGGTGAAAAAACTAAAGTAGCTCAGAAAAATCATTAAAGATAAATAAAAATTTTTTAATTGTAAAGTGAAAATAAAACAGAAGATAAATGTAATCTTACTTAAGTACCTTTTCTTATTATTTAAGACTAAACTTTTTGAAGTTATATATTAGTGTATTAACTGGAAAAAATTATGCCCCCCCCCCCAAAAAAAAAGAAAAACTAAAAACAAGTTTTTTTATTTTTAAGAAAAAAATAAGGAAACAAGTTAGGCAGTGAAAGAAAACAAATGTCAATAAAAACAAAGGTACCTATTTCAGAATTGCAGCTTCTAGAAAAATAATATAGTGGAAGACAAAAAAAAGAGAGAGAGAGAGAGTGAGACAGAGAATAATTTTTTTATTTTAAATTATGCTTTTACTTATTTAACAATGAAAATCTTAGTTTTCTATATTAACGTATTTACAGGAATAATTCAAGGCAATAAAAGCGCAGACAAAAACTTTTTTTTTTAGAATCTTCACATTTATAAAAATATTAAAGATGCAGAGAATTATAAATATAACAGAACCATAAGATATAATAAAATAAAAGACTGACAAATCAGCTATAAAAAAATAAAAGAAATTGTAACATTAAAGAGAAACTAAAAAAAATAAATAATAATAATTCAAAAAAACAAAATTTGAAGGTAAAAAATTTCATTTTATCATATTGTATTTTCAAGAGAATAATGTAATACGAAAAGTAATTACAAGTAAAATTATAGGCAAAATAAATGAAACAAAGAAGATTTACTTGAAAAAAAAAAGTTTTATAATATAATTTTTATTAATATTACGTAGCTCAACATATGGCATTTTTTAACCCACTGGGTACTCTTGGGTGTCTTTAGGTACCTCTAAAAAACTGACAGCAATTTTTTACTTTTTGGTCCTACTAAAAACAATACTAAAAGTAAATTTAATATTACAATGTAGCAGACACAATACTAAGAGATTTCTTCTTCTAGCAAGGTGAGAAAAACTAAAATCAGAAAAAATGAGTAAATATGGCATTCCATGTCTTTCCCTTGGTTTTATATAAAGTTAGTTTCAGGTAATTTACAGAGAAAATGTTGTAATTATCGATTGCTCAGTAATTTATCATTAAACTTAACTGAATGACAGATGAACCATTAATCTCCAGAATTATATAACTTAGTAATAGTAATTAATGTAGATTTCAATGGAAAAGGAACTGGAAATAAATGTGTTAGACTTAACTTCTAGAATCTCACCCACTCATAACAAAATGGTCCGTCTTAATTTAACTTATATACAACAAAAGAGAACATAAAAAAAGCACTGGCTGCTAGTTCATATTTATATAAAGGAATTTATCGCCTTAACACGATGACTGCTGTGCCACCCATATTCGGGTGACGCTTATTTGACTACTTGCAAAAAGTTATTTGTATGCATTAGAAAAGATATTTTACAGTAAGTAACAAAACTATTGAATTGTTATAAAAGCAATACAAAAAGGATTTATTAAGAAAATGATCGCGAGCCTCGTAAAAGCTATCTTGTTCACTTCTATTTGACTCACTAAGAAATAAGTTTTCCATTTTTCTTTTCAAAATTGAAACAAATTAGGGAAAAGATTTTAAGTTATACTTCACTTTACTCGACAGATTTAAACTGATCATGTAAAGTGACGAGATCAGAAAGCGATGCGAAGCAACTGACATGATACAATAGAAACAAATCGAGCCAGATATTAGTCTTGTGACCATCAGAGACTCTCATTATCAAAATATAAGGAGTACAGCGGCATTTCTGGCCTAAAGGAGATTTCATTGTAAATGTATGCATCAGTCATTGTGTTAAAAGATGTTTAATAAAGTTATGTCAAAGATTTTAAAAAGGAATGTTCTTGATAATATAAAAAATTTGGAATTCAGAGATACCGTGTGAGAGGTTTCATACTTAAAGAAAAAAGTCCATGATAATAATAAAAGTATAAAACTTAAGAATTTCTATGATATAAAAATTTCATAGAATGGAAAAGAGCAATATATATGTACAAAAACTAACTCTGAATTTGTAATAATTTCTAGTAGCTAAATTGATATAAAAAATTTAAGTAACCTGTAATCAGTGCAGCAATAGCAATTGAGAGATATTCCATCATTCTTTTCCCAATACTATAATAACTTCACAATAACAATGTATCTATTATTTAAATCAGTTTTTGATTGTTTAAAATCTTAGAATGAAACTAATAGAATTTATTAAATTTATAATTCCGAGCTTGAATTTGTTACTTTTCTTAAAGTACATATAGTACTCAGAAATTGCTGCCTCGGTCACGTACAATTTTATTCAATTAATATGACACATTTGACCCATGACACTAATTTTCATGAACTAATAAAAACATAAAAATGTATATTAATAAACTCAATAAATAGAATGACTAATTAATTACCTGCTTGGCTAAGACCAAATGCTCTCTAGTTTGAGGCATAGCTCCATCAGTTGCAGCAACTACTAGGACTGCACCATCCATTTGTGAAGTGCCAGTTATCATATTCTTTGAAAAAAATATAGAATAAAATATTATAAAAACATTTTTAAACCTCAATATACTACAAATTAAAAACAAAAACTTTCTTTATCACTTATGCATCACAGTTGGTATATTAAAATTTTTTATTCACTTAGAAACTCACAGTATAAGGTTAATTGTATCAATTGTTCGAAATTTTAATATTTTTGTAAGAGTACGCTTGTTTATTATCAAATCCAAGTAACTGTTCATTTCATTATGATTGACATGTTAACAAAATTTTCTTACAAATAAAATCATAATATTTACATATTTTATAAGCTAAATGATCATTTTTTTCTTTAAACAATGTCTTGAAAAGAAGAAAAGAGATGAATGGTAGACAACCATGCAGTTGATGGGTGGAGCAAACAGACCCTCTTAGTTTTATTAATTAGTAAAATGTTCCAAACAATTTCAGCAATTTGTTCGGTAAAAATTATGAAGTTTACAATTTTTACATAATATTGCATCTTTAAATCAAATATGCATAACATATAATTCCTATTATAAATAATCAATAAATGACAAACTAAAAACAATTATGAACATAATGAAAATATTTTTATAATTACTCAGACTATAAATGAGCTGTTTTATTATATAGCATTGACATGATATTCAACAAACTATACACAGATTAAAAACTGTTCAATAAATAACAAATAAAAATTCTTAAAATTTTTCAAGCAGTTACACATAAAACAGCAAAAACGATAAAAAAGAAGTTGTTAGAAGAAAATTTAATAGTGAATATTTAAAATTAAAAAAAAAGAAAAAAAATTAATTTATTTTACCTTGATATAATCTGCATGCCCTGGACAATCTGTATGTCCATAGTGCCTCTTTTCAGTGGTGTATTCAATATGAGCAACATTAATTGTTATACCACGAGCACGTTCCTCTGGAGCATTATCAATATCTTCATATTTCTTAAGTTTCGCCATCTTCTTATCAGCAAGTACTAAGAAAAGACATACAAAGTAAATAAAGTAAGAAAAAAAAAGTTTTAGTAAGACAATTTTAAACCATAAGATCAATAATTTCTGATAAAATTTTTAATGTTTCATCTTAATTATTGTTAACACCTCCTAACTTATCCACCATTAATGAAGTATATAGTATTTTACTAGGAGACATAAAAATCTCCTGTATTTTAGTCAAACATTTCTTTGCCAACAGAGGTTATTTCAGTTTCTTTAAATAAAAGGTCCTGCATTGTGAAATCATGAAAAATCTACAATTTTTGTGAATCTACAATTAATGTTGAATGTATGATTCTTTCTACCAAGGCCTTTTCGTTAATAGGGGAAAATAAGGTCAAGTTTTTGTGGAAAAAAAAACAAGTTTTTAAAGGAATTTTAATTTCAAAACTTTGAATTAAACACACAAGCAATGTTCTTCAAGGAAAGTTGTTGTAAAAGTCCGTTTAACTGTGATCTATTTTTTTAAAGAGTTCATTTAAAAGAATTTTGTGAAGGATCCATTTTAACGATAATTTCTTCTTTCCCTCTTATGAAAAAAACCATTTTTATTAAACAACCTTAGATAAAATAGGTATTAATATTTTTTATTTTTCTTAAAAAAAAAAAGAAATTTAAAAAAAATAATGTGTGTGTCCCTCTAAATGGGATATTTACGACTATATGTTGGGCAAAAAAACTAAAAAATTTGCTTAATGTTTGTCGCTTCCAAGCTCTAGATCAGGATTTACATTTATCTTTAAGATAATCTTAATTACAATTAAAGATATTGAGCACAAAGTAATAAAATTTAATTTATTATTATTCTTTCTGAAAAAACAAATTCATTTGTAATACTAAGTTGCAAGCAATTTAAATAATCTTTAGAAATATTCTCTTGAGAAGAAAATTGAGTTTCATTTATTCACGCAAAGTTTAAAAATATTTCTAAACATGTATCTCTGTGAAAAAGATTATATATTTCAGTTGTTAGATAAGAATAAATTGTGTAAATTAGGAAATTAACTTATTTTCTCGCAAAAAGCTATTGCTGCATTCAAAGTCATTTATCGCAATACAATGGATCAAAGTTTGTTTTTTTTTAGGACGGATTCTTCAAATTTAATTTACCTATAAATTTAAAGAAGTGCACTTAATGATAGATTTAATTATTTTAAGTTGCAAAAGATGTCAGCAAAGTTGGTAAGCTTTTTAAGCCAAAGCATATTGATTACACAAGAGTATACAGAGTTCTCTCTAAGAATAAAAAAGGACAGGATGCTTCCTCACAGAAAAGACCACTTTGAGTTTCAAAGAGCACTCTCTTACCACTGTTAAAAGTTATCAAAGTGAAATATTATGTAATAACTGAATTTGACCCTCAATTTTTAAATAACTCTCTTTTACTATTTTATATGCACATTTCACAAAATAAATAGAAAGATTTGAAGTTTTTGAAAAATAATTAAAGGCAAGCTAAAAGATAATCTCTGTACATAAATTTTCTTCAAAAAAATAAATAAATAAATTATTAGTTGAGAAACAACTTGAAAGCTTTATTTTACATATCATGAGAATTCTAACTATATATATATATAACTAGACAAAATAAGAAAAATCTTACTATAATAAAAGAATGAAATTAAAGTTAAATAATTAGAAAAACTAAATAAATGGGAAGTGGACTTTTCATTAAAACAGGTGGTTAAGAAAATCTTTTCCTGAAAAAAAAAATCCTGAGTTCTAAGGGATAGCGGCATATCTTTTATAGAAAGGGAAAGAAGGAGCATTTATAGGGTTTAAAGTGAACCATCAATTGCACTGTGTTACATGCGGAGTTAAGTGCAAAATATGTGACTTAACTGAGTTTGAAAGCAGAATGATTGCAGGCGCTCGAAGCGTCAGAACCAGTATTAGAAAAAAGGCAGCTCTTCTGAAGTATTTGAGAGCAGCAGTTATTAATGCGTACAGAGAGTGGATTACAAAGCATAAAATCAGGTCTTAACGTCAGGCTTGTGGTCGTTACAGGTTACTGAATGCTCGAGCTGAAAGGAGACTTGCCAGAGTTGTCCAGTCTAATAGAAGAGCAACAGTATGTCAAATAGGAATCTTAATGAAGGTGCAACTGCAAAAGTCTCTGAACGAGCTGTGAGCCACACATTACACCATATAGGTAATAGGAGCCAACGACTGTTAGCCTTGAACAAGAGCAGAAGTCTCCAGTTTGCAAAGGAGCATAAGGATAGGACATTAGATGACTGGAAAAAGGTATTGTGGTCTGATGAATCAAAATTTCAATTACACCATACAGATGTTATGTTAATAGTGTACCCTGCTGGGGATGGATACTTTCAGCAAGACAATGCTCCTTGTCATACAGCTCATATTGTCGTCAGATAGATTGAAGAACATGACGGCGACTTAACCTTGCTTTGTTTGCCTGCACAATCACCAGATTTCAATCCAATTGAAAATTTGTAGTAAGATTGAATGGGGCATCAGACAGCTTGATCTAGTGCCATTCAATCTAAAACTAAAAAGCACGATTCATTAATTATGGGGTCAAATTCTTCCTACCACCATCTCATAGAATCTATGCCAAGAAGAATTCAAGCAGTATTGCGGGTAACGATGGTTCAACAGTATATTGATGGTGCGGTTAGTGTATGTGTATAAATATTTGTGTGCGTAAATATATAGACATATTTTACAAATAATTTGCTAAAAATGTATTTCCAAATAGCATTGAAATGTTTCACAGGATGATTATGTTGTACTACCAGTCATTCAAGAAGTAACTCTTCAATTAAATAAATATATATATTCAATTAAATAAATATATATAAAGTCAGACTATACGTCCATAATATCTAAAGAGAGAGAAAAAAAGCTATTTAAAAGAGCTGCAAAAGCAGTTCTAGGGTCACCAGAAAGTGCCTAGACTCATTTGAAAAAAAAAAAAATTCATAACTTCAAGATCAAAATTGGGATTAAGAAAATTAGTAAGTCTGAGGGACATCATTCAAGAGATAAAAATTTATCGAACATAAATATCGAAAAGCGTTAAGTCACCTTTTGTAATTGCTGCTGTAAGTGTAGTTTTGCCATGATCAACGTGACCAATTGTTCCAATATTACAATGAGGCTTATCCCGTTGAAAAACTTTCTTTGCACCAGGAACAGTTGCGGTAGCAAGATATCTTTTAATAGATATATTCAAAAGGTTTGATGCAGCAACACTTGGAAGCTAGAAGTAAAATTGATCTCTTACAAATTTGATTAGATAATGAGTAATCAAATCAAATATAAAATAAACAATCCCTTGAAAATATTTGAAAAACATGAAGGTTGTAATAAAAGTTACTATGTTTGTAGCGCTCAAAAATAGATTACCTGGATAATTTTAGGTATGCTTTTCACTAAAAATCAACTACATTTAAGAATTCCTGCAAATGTATCTCATAAATTTTAAATTGGATAATTTATTAAGAAAATTATAGTGAAATAAAAGCTAAAAAAGATTACTAAATCACAATTTGAAACATACAATTTTATAAGACAAATAAAAGTAGGATTAAATTTTGAATTAAAGTATTGAACAAATTAGTATATAAAATGAAAATTAAGAAACAGTGAACAGCAACTTACATAAAATGATCCTTTGGATGATGATCCAAGCAAAACATATTGATTCAAACCTGAAAATTAACAAAACAAAAATTGAATTAAATCAATCAGAAAGGAATAATTTTCTTTAACAAGAAAAAATACCTATTCAATATATTATAGATTTAATGCACTTTTTACAGGTTATGCAAAATTGTTAAGAGCCCCAATTATAAAAAAAGTTATGTTTATATAACAAAGAGAAACAAAACTTATTCCATTTAATCTGACTACCTCTTATATTTTCAGGGGTTTGTCTAGTTTTTTCTGAGAGGTACCTATTTTATGAAGATTTCGACATAATTTGTGAAAATTAAAAATTATATTAAAAAATCAACACAAAAATATGGTAAACATATGGATTTATCAATTCTTACAGGATACAAAAATAAAATTTTAAGATAAAGTATTTTGTGAAACTACCGTTTTTCCTAAAGTTGAATTTGTGAAGGTAACATAGTAAATTTGGCCTGGACAGACCCCTGATTTTGTACATTGGTTAAATAAATATATAAAAAAAACTGCAACAATATTTCTAAGGAATCTTCCATTTAAAGGTTCTAGCATATGACATAAGTCTTGAAAGTAATCAGATTGTAAAAGCAAGGAATGCCTATTTTTTAAAAATTTTCTCAACTTGCAAAAGCTTTGCTGTATTTAAGGAAATGGAGAAAAAAACTGACAATTTTTTGGAGTTAAGATACATGTGCATTGGAACTATGAAACTGAGTGAAATATTTGGCAATGATGATTAATAATAATGAATAAAAAAATTTATTAATTTCTTTTAGGGCTAAGGTGGCATTAGTAGGATATTTGAATTTTCTTATTAAATACTCAGTCAAAAGATTATCCATTGAAAATTTCAGATTTACTCAGTCAAAAGATTATCCATTGAAAATTTCAGATTTAACTCCATCCAATTTATTGAAATAAATTAGTTTATACAGGTAAAAAAGTTAGAGAATTTTTTATTTCTTTATATAACCATTTAATAAGTGAGCGGTGCCGGCTGCATGGTCTAGGCAAGGCCAGGGAATTTAAAAAGTATTAGATTAAAATACATTTTGCTTCGTAATTTAAACTATTTTTTCTCTTTATGAATTAAATAATGACCAAAATATTATTTTATAATGATAAATGACCTTCTATATGTAAGGAACAACAGAAGTAAGATATACCCGGTCATTTAGAAATATTAACAAATGAAATTAAATTTCACTATAATCACATTAATAAGCTTCTAACTTACTAGAGCTACCTAGAATTTTTCGAATGGTTAATAAATTGCTAAAGGATAGCATTTTATTTGTGTAAATTATTATGCAATATTAAGATCAGTTGTGTTCATTTGTAAATAAGCCAATACAGTTAAAATTAAGATTTCTAACTGCAGCTGGAAACTAGAATGACATACAGATGGCGCTGCGGAAGAATCACAAATTCTTTTAAAAGGGTCATTCTCACTGCACGCAAAAATGTGCAGATGATAGCTCGTTCGGGACGTTACAGAGTAAAGATTTGTAATATTCAAGCTCTGTGCTACTATGTCGTCACAACGTTTTGAACGTGGCGGAAAGACAATGTCAATCCCATCTAGAAGGACACGCAAGTTACCGATCCTCTATCCCGACATGGAAAAATACAAAATAACTCTTGGCGGCATTTGTGAAAATAAAACACGGATTTTAATTTGAACCGGTAGAGAAAGAGGATTGTACCGACTTTTTGACTTCATTCCACCTGAGGGAGCTATAAGACCCAAGCAATCGATTGACCATATTCTGGAATCAACAAAGTTTGAAACTCCGATTACCTTGGAAAACGGAAAATACATCTACTTGGAAGTAGCTGAGTCTCCTGAGTTACAGACATCCATCGACAAATAGAATGAACCATCGATCTAACTTAAAGAACAAGTCACGAAGGTATCCATATCACATTCCCCCTATTTCTTCCAAGCCGGAAAAAGGAAAGTAACAAAATATCAAGAAGGCTAGTAATCCACTCAATCATTCAACTCCTGTCCTGTTCGAGCCAACTACCAATTTCGAGAGTGTCGCGGAGAAGCACCTGGCAGATGCATCGAATGAGAACTCTGACGAGAAAACCACCGATGTTGATACTTCAACTACTGAGTTAACTCCTAAAACATTCAAGGTTTTACGCAGAGGAATTTAAGCCGATACCGAAGCTGAGGAAGTTTGTGATCATCATCTGCGAATCGACATCTTGTCCATTAAGATAGTTCAATTTATGAAACGAGAGGGTGGGCTTTAAAAGCCCCTCCCTCTTTTTCTTGTTATTCTTCCCGACATGGAGGACAACAGAGAGATCTACCGGACGACCGATCTCAAAGACCGCAAGATAGGAGTCGAGCGGTTTCGTGAAGGAAAATATCAGGTACCGTGTTATCACTGCCTAGGCTTCTGTCATAAGCAGCGAGATAGTAATTATTCACTGAGATGTGTGAAGTATGACAGCGGCTATTTCTGCTATGCCTGCATCAAGCCTCGGGACTCACCCCAGGTGTTGTAACAGTGATCAAGACCACACAGTCAGCATCTCGGACTATGTTTGTCCCAAGAGAAATCACCACAACCAAGCCAAACAAATCACTCTAGCTGAAAAAATTGGGCCCTCATTAAAGAACTAATGAGCCTCTTAATGATCAACGAAACGAAATCGATATTTCGAGATCTTCTGTCTAAGGCTTAACCTATCACCCCCTTTTGCCTAGCCAGACTATCACTTGCTGTTGAATCACCCTTAAACATTCGCCAAAAACACCAGTTACACCAGTGCCTCTGGTTACGGCACCAGTCGTACCTTTATTCAAACTGGTATTACCAAATGTGCACAATGTGCACCAAGCATCTAGACGATTTGATGAGTTCGTGTGACGTCATTATTTTTATTTGTTTACTTGCTGCAATTTACTTCTGTCAAGATCGTCGGCATTCATCAGTATTTTTGAATAGATTTTATTATAAATTTAAAATAATTTTTTTTACCTAATAAGCTTTCTTGTAAAGAAAGCTTATTAGGTAATTTCCAACACCCCTAGCTTTCCCTAGAATAAGCTTTCTTGTAAAGAAAGCTTATTCTTATAGCTTATGAAGCTTATTAAAAGACTAAGCTTTCTTTCATTCTTCAATAAGCTTTCTGTATTAAATATAAATTTAATAATTAATATGTCCCGCAGTGGACTGATCGTTAAGAAATGGTTCCCAGCAGATCACCGAAGTCAAGCATCACTGGTTGCGGTTTGTGTGCGGATGGGTGACCACTTGGATTAGTCTGCGTAGGGACAGAGGGTGCGCGGTATTGGTCCTCTATAGACTGTTCTACCGTAATGTGCTCGACTTCACGTGCAGGTCGTCGGGCTACCGTAGCGGGATTGCTATCCCCTCTGCAGAGGATCAAAATCGTTATGGCATATCTTCGGATCATCCTCAGGGATGTTTCCCAGACCGTCGCCAATAGCCCATTGTTCAGCTATAGTGTGACGTAAATGAACTACAACTACAACAACTAATAACTAATATAGATATTTATTGCGTAGATGATTGTGCTCTCATGTTAACCCTGTATATTGTAATTGATATCATAAATAAACATTAATATTTTAATTCTGATATTAGTTAAAGTTTGTGTTTGTTTTCAAAACTATGATTTCATCTGAGTTTTGACACTTGTGATATTTAACTTTACTTGATAGGTTCTCATTGAAAGAATTTAGGCTAGTGATTTAATTCAATAAACATATAGTTTTTTCACGAACAATTTTGATATTTCAAAAATTCTGACAAAATATTATTCTCAGATTTGTGATAGAGGTTTTAGTATGATAGAATTTCAGCATTAGTGAATTCAACATGAGTATTCTAGCAAAAACTCATGTTTATATATTTTTTTTTCCTGCGAAATTTCGCTTACACAATTTCGTTCAATGTATATTATTTTAAAAATCTGCAAAGCTAATTAAAATTTGATTGTTAAATTTTTTCTCTTTTGTGTTTTAAATATGTTTCTTATATTCTTTCTACATTTCATAACTGGCTTGGAACGATGAATATTGTCTTAGCATAATAACAAATGATACTGTTAGTTGAAATTATGTTAGGTTTAATATAAATTCAGATTTCAAATATAAATCCTACTGAGCATGGACCTGTGTTGTTAAGTCTAGGCTGTCAATGTCTGGAGTTTAAGTTGATATTTGAGAATTTCTTTTTTATATTAAATCATTTCTAACAACCACAACATAGCAATGATGGTATGGAGATCTGTCCTGATCTGCGGCTCCTTCAGCACTCATGCAAATCAATGTCTTAAATTTATAATGGTTGATACTCTATAAAACTTTAGTTTGAGTGAAATGATTTTTAACAAAACCCGATGGCGAAGACCGGTTATTGGTCCGCGTTATTCAAAATGGATTCAATTATTTTCGTTTGCGAATGATAAGCAGAGTGGTCAAAAATATTTACCTTCAAAAAACTCATCAATCAGATTCTCGTTCGTATGTGATTTTCACACCATGTAAAAAATCGTATCCAGTGTGAATTGTTCTTCGCGATCAGTTCATTGCGGGACTGCTTATTATAGTATGACTAAACGTAACTTAAAACCAAATATAAAAGCATAAAATTACTAATATTTCACGCATTGCCTAGGTCTGTTATAGAATGGCTAAGGAAAAACCTAAAAGCAGTCGAAGCGATAATTAGGAATTTTATAGAATGTAGGACAGCCATTGATAAAAAGTAAAATTATATTGTGAGACTAGCATGAAACAACCATATTATCAATTTATTTAAAAAATGAATAAATAAATAAAATTGTAGAAGTTTAAAACGTGAACTACTACGTTTTAATTCGAAATACGGGTGACGTTAATGGCTAAAAACAAAACTAAGACAACCGGACTAAAACAGTTCTATTTTTGGGTCTAAGACAAAAGTACACGCTATCTTATATTGTTGTTGCAATTTTTTGTTCGCAATATGACCTGTGCTATTTATCATAAGATTCTTAAATCTATTTAACATTAGCTAAAGATAGTAAAAAGGGAGATAACACTAAAAACATAGCAACTCTAAAATATTTATAACGAAAAACTATATTCCTTAAATTGATTTAAAGCTTACACGACCTTTTCGAATTTTTAAAATTCAGAAAAATCTTATGAGTGATTAAAACAACGTGCAAATTTAATCAATAAAAAAACTCCCTTGAATATCAAGCCTGTTCATTCATCGCGTAATTTTTTTTAAATGGCGGACACTTGGGGTTTGTCCCATTGGCCACAGAAATGCCAGAACTGCTACTCTCTTCTCGTTGGCCAGTGGGCACCTGCGGCGAAGCTACGGCGGTGGAGCAGCGTTGCCCACGGCACACAACCACAAACCCGTTTATAGGGCGGGTCACATTCATACACATTCACATAAAGAGGAAAGGACATAGAACGCAGAGCGAGAAAGAAACATCCATGCCCTGAACAGGATTCGAACCCGCTGCCGCAGTCAGACACGCTAACCACTCGGCCACCTGGTCGGCATCTCGTAAAAGTAGGCTGAGGAATACAAATGAAATTTTTAATGTTCTATTCCGATTTTAGAATCTAGTAGGCGGAGTAACAAGCAACATGCATCAATCTTTTGTAGGAATCAGTGAAAAACAATTATCCTTAGTAACGTTTGTATTACACCTTTGTATTAGGCTTAAGTTTTATATTTGAATACGATGTTTCAAAAACATGATCTCAATGAATTGATAACTTGAAGGGTATCCGTTTTCAGCGGAATTAATCACAGACCCTAAATAGCGTCCTGATTCCCTAACTAGGGAATCAGTTTTCAGAAAATTAAAATGTTTGAGCAAAAATTAAGACAAGCTCATACACTACAAGATTAGTTTCGATATTTAGCACTTGTTCAATCTAATTAATGCTTGTTTTTCAATATAAGGTAAAGGACTGCCTTTTTTAAATCTGAATAAACATTTGTTTCTAAACTACAAGGTGATAAGGATGATGAATATATATAAAATGAAATGACTTATGTTAAATAAAAAAGTGATGAAAAATAATGACTGTTAATTGCGGCTAGCCGCATCTTGAGTTGTATTCCTACGACTAATTTGAAGGTGTTAGAGAAAAAAAAAGTAATTATTTTCCTCTGCGCTCGCAGCGCCATCTGTAGACAGTTTTTACCATGAGGGCTAATAAATGGATAATAATTTAGAAGTAAACGATAAAAATTAAATTAGTAATAATATCGGTTCCGAAGAATATTTCGGATGTTAATGAAGTTAATAGTTGATATTTTCCAGAAAATAATAAATATAATAAATACTTTTAAATAAATGAAAGACTAAAATAAATTGCTTCTTGAACTTTAAGCTTGAGTCCTTGAATATCTGATCAATTGATCGAAAGTTATTTCTGTTAATCAAATACACATCAACATAATCATTGTTTTAGGACATTTTAATTATGGGAGAAAGTTGAAATCATAAAAATATTATTTTTAGGGGACAAAACAAATCTTTAGAATCAAATTTGGCAAAAGGTATATTTAGAAGTTTCAATTCCTTAGGAATTAAGCCAATTGTGAAATTGATGCGATTTGTGATAATAGGTCGGTTTTGAAGACGAAGCTGAGAATTTATCTATTTCTGAGAATTGATCTAATATTCATTAGTTAATATCGAGAACAGATCGTGTTCGGATGCCGGACAATTTTCTTGACGATGAAAATATCCTTGAAATTGATTAACCCTTCATGTTCCCCATCAGATATGAACCGAATAAAGCAGGTTTGAGACACTCTAGAGAGAAGGATTGCTAGTTGCTTATTTTCATTATTGTGCAAACAATTTAGCAGTTGAATCGCCTTTTTTTCCCTCTTGGAGTTCCTTATTGAATTTCAATGATTCCGTGCCTCGTACATTTAATAATTATAGGAGCTTCGACTTAATTTATAATTTGTTCACGCAGTTTGTAAGCCAGATTTATTGTTGGATTATAAATTGAATACAAAAAAATGTATCGTGGTTTTAACACTTTATAGAAATAAAAAATAGCTTAATATTCAGAAGTAGTATTTTATTTCAGTTATTATCAGTACCCCCAGAGGTATTGATTTGTTATGGGAACATGGAGGACTTTGAGACTCGACAGATTTAACGTGCATCAGCCACCAATTACTACGGTTTTCGGCTGGCAGGGATCGAACCCACGACCTCTTGGACACGGGCCCAGTGCCCTACCACCCAGGCTATCCCAGCCCTTGTGGTTTTAATATTTTTAAGAAAGACAATTTATATTTCATCAATAAATGTAGTTTAGAAATTGAGTAAATAAGTAATAATTCAAATAGAAGCTCACACAGATAAAATATCATAGGAGATACTAGAGTTAATAAATTAACAAATAAAACACTACTATTGTATATTGTTTTTTTTCTTCCTTTCCAGTATTAAAACCACAATAATTTTTCGGTTACAATTTAAACTCCAACTGCAAATCTCGTTTACAAATTTCGTGGATACATTATAACGTAAAGCGATGCTCCTACACAGATAAATTATTTTAGGAGACACTAGCTTTAATAAATAAATGTGATTTGTTGAATTACTAATAGAAGCAAAGTGCCAACTTTTTATTTAACATTTTTTTTTCGATAAAAGAATTTTTTTTTCTTTCAAAGAAAACAAAATTACTATTGAAAATAATGCTTTAAAGTAACTAAATACAATTCTCACCAATTTTGTTTAAAAGTGTTACTTAATATGAGATATTTTGTTTCTGCATATTTAGTTTTTAATGTACAGTTTCAAATAAATAGATTTAGCTTAAAAAGTTCATAATATATTTTTTTACATACTTTGTCTCTTATTCAACATATCTGAAAGAAAAAAAACAACAAGTTAACATGCATAAGTTTATATGTAGAGTATGGTCGGATGATTCGTTGACTCAATTTATTGATTCAATTCTACAGTAGCTAAAATTTTAGTGATTTTCTCTGAACAGCACTGATTATTACTTAGATTTGCTTCTTCATTAGAATTTTGTTTATTATCTTTCAGACTGATGGTCACACGCTCGTTGATACATCGTGATCTTTTCGGACAGGCATCCACTTCTGATTGCTCGTGGACTCCAGAACTGTTAGGAGAACAGTCTTCACGCAACTCCATGTAGAATTTCTGTTACTTTTAACTTTTCCTAAAATAGACATGACACACATATGCATTTAGTCAAATACAACAGATAGATTTATAGTCAATTTAAGTGGAATATAATTGAAAATATGAGCTGTTCATTGCCCTAATTAATTAATATCACTTTTTTCAAAATATTAAGTTTAAAAAAATACTTGGATCAGTGATTCAGTCATAGCTTTTTAATACCTGATAAATTTACCAAATAATGAAGATCTACCTTCTAAATTCCTTTATTAAAAATATCACTGTAAATGCATTATTTTTTGCATATCATAGAATACCTAGCCATTGTATTGAATAAGTAAAATCGATTTTAAAAGCATGAAATGATTAACGTTATAGAGATTGCCTGAGCATTCTGAAGAATGATTTAATAAAAACCTAAAGGAATTCTTTACAATAACTGGGTTTATAATGAATTTTATATGTCATAGTTTGCCTCAAGACGACAGACGTTCGAACAATGACTCAGCATTCTATCGAATGCTGCCATTTCATATATTGACGATAACTTGAGAAAGTTTCTTTCGATTGTTCTTTGTGGAAACATAAAAAAGTTTCTTTTAAGAGAACGATTATTACAGGATTACATTCAGCTATAATTAAATAATAAAATCTGCTCACAACTAAGATATTTGTAATTGAAATGCGTGTTTTCCTCTATCGTTTTAGCATTAGTGGTGAGAAATCAAATGGATTGTATGGAACTAGGTTAAGGAAGTAACGTTTTTCTTTAAAATAAAAAACGTAACCTTTTCTGTTAGCCGGGCATAAGCGAAAAATCGCCAAACCTTCGCCAACCAGTAGACCTCCAACATTTTATTTTTTATTTTAATTTATTTAACGCTGATAAAAATTAAATAAAATAAAAAGAAATTAAATGAAACAAAATAAAAATATACAAGTGAATTCAATTGTGCCCGTCTAATCAAAAATTTCCATAAGATCTTGCGTAAAAGTCTTAAAACGTTTTCGAAACTTAAGATGTCAATTAACAATCGAAGTTCGCAGTTTCTGTGTTTATTTTATTCATTTGGCAAGAAGAATTGTTTTAACGTTTGCTTAATTTCGATGTTTATACGGTTTATCACGGTTCTCACAAAACGATTTTTTTAAAAACTCCTTCATACTACTAGAGACATACACAAAAACAATTAAGCATTTATATTTTACTTTTGTGAACCGTGGGTTATTAAAATACTTGTATGATTAATTTGATCACTCGCTGTAAGAAATTTACATTTCACTTTTGCGAATCTTAAGTTTAAAACTTTTGATTCTTGCGATGTGAATGGAAAGTGGGTATTTATTTGATTGGGATAAGTATGTGTTTCCCTAACTTTCGTTGTTCATGACGTTGATGACTTAACTTATAATAATATAAGAAACAAATCTTCAGCTGCAACTTTTTTATTAAGTATTTTTAAGCAGCATAGAACAATAACACTAAATAATGTACTATAAAATACAGCCGACCAAACTACCAGACATTCATGTCTGTCCTACGAGAATCCAAGATGGAAGTGAGATAGTTCAGTTTTCTCTTCTAAAAGTGTATTTTTTTTCGAGGGAAGGCGCCATCTATCGGCAACGATTCTTACAGGATATTTTTTAAAAAAGTGATAGAAATTTTTAAAATAAGTGTTTTTTTAAATTTTTTTTTTTAAATAAAGAGATAGTGGAAAAAAAGTTCAGAATGGCCCAAGACAAAAAAGCTAGAAAAGTGGCGTTCTCATGTTAACGGAACTATCTGAATTTGATTAGTTTGCTAAATTAATCAACTGTTAACTTGGATGACGGAATTGTATGCTTTTCCATAGAGTCAGTTTCACACGTCTCCCATATTAGTGATAGAAAAACTCTGAAAAATCTGACAATTCACGAGATGTAGTGGATTAAAAATGTAACCTTTATCGCATCCATCGAAAAAAATAATTAAAAAAAACTTTTTACAGAGCAATCAAAAATAACACTTATATTGTGAGATCAAAATTCAAATAATTTCAATAATTGATAATTTGATTGACAGAATTATAGACAGAATAAATGATACATAACGTAACGTTATCAGTTTCAAATTGGGTCACTCATTTTATACCTAAACAAATGCTAAATTTAATACATTAAAATTAATGTTTGAGTTGACTGTATATTTCTAAACTAATATCTAAATAAAATATCTAAATTAATTACCAATTTTTTTTTTTTTTGAATAAAGCATGGAGAGAATGAGAATCAGTTTAAGACAGGGAAAATAATGTTTTATTTTATATTTCTCGTAGAAACATTTAAAACGTGTTTTAAAATGAAGTTGTTCTATTTATATCTCTACATTCGTTCCATATTATTTCTGTTAATAAAGTCGTTAACAAAAAGTTAAGATCATAAAGTCACATTTAGAAAATATTATATACCCTTAAAGTAAATTAAAGTCATTGAACTCTATTAAACAAGCGCATAATCTACCGACAAAAATTAGAGCATATGTAAAATTGCTCTAATTGCGAAGTAAAGAATGCAATGTTATAAATAAATCCAAAATGAAAAAATTTGTAACGTGCAGCAGTCAACATCACATACCTAAAGAAATGCTGGGTTTCGTTAAAGCAACGTGGCGAACAGCAAAAGCTATTGGCTGTACCCTACACTATAAACTATAACTTGAGGATACAAAATCAATCAGCAAATGATACATTTATCACTAGACATTGAATTAGTCATATTATTTTATTACAACAGTTATTAATTTTGTTTCCGAAATTGAAAAGAAAAAAAAAGAATTAAAAAGATCAAGATACGTTACTTAGAATGATTAAATAATTTTTTTTCACTCTACATCAAATGGTTTTAAATTTTTTCTCCATTTATTAAAATTAAACTCTCAATAATTTAAGAATAATGATATAAAATTTATAAAGGCAGTTACAAGTAAATAACTATTAGTACTAATTTTTTTTACCTTATTTTCTTCCGGTTTATAATTCAGTAATGGTCAAAAATTTAAAACATCTCAAAGGAATATGATTATGAAAGTTGTGTTTATGAATGTGTTAAACCATGTTAGTGTTTATGAAAGAAACATAAATCTGCTGCCATTCATAAAAGTTTCTAACATTCAAAGTTTTGCTTGTTTTACACATGCGTATGTACGCATGTGACTTTATTTAGACATCATATAGCACTAGGTAGAGAGGGATGTAACGAAGATATAATCATGGTTTTCGCATTCACCATCTCTATGCAGAGCGTTTGGAGGATGAGACCTCCCTACTGGGGGACCCTTTATTGTTTCTCAAAAGAATGGATTTAAGTTGTGCAAAGCGTGAAGGTAGCGGGTTCAAATCCCGCTGTTACCCTGGATGTATCTTCGAGCTATCCTTCACTGTATTGTGCTGTCCCACAGTGGACTGATCGTTAAGGCACGGCTCCCAGCAGATCACAGAAGTCAAGCATTACTGGCTGCTGTCAGTGTGGGGGTGGGTGACCACTTGGATTAGTCTGCGCAGGGACCGAGGATGTGCAGTATTGGTCCTCGTTAAACTGTTCTACCGTAAAGTGCTAGACTTCGCGTGCAGGTCGTCGGGCTACCGAAGCGGGGGTGCCTTCCCCTCTGCCGTGGATCAAAATTGTGATGGCATGTCTTCGGATCATCCTCAGGGATATTTCTCAGACCGTCGCCAATAGCCCGTTGTGCAGCTCTAGTGCGATGTAAATGAGCTACAACAACTGTATTGTGCTATATGTCCTTCCATTTGACAAAAGGTTAATAAGCCTAAATTGAGCACTCAAGCCTGCAAATATATGTAATTCCAGTAAACCAATGGATTTAATTCGAAAGTTGTTACGATTCGCTCCGTCATTATCGCACTGCATTTTAAAATACACTGTGTCTAATAAATAAATAGACTCCGGTTCTTTATTTATCCGTTCATAAATTAGCAGGCTTGGGAGCTTGATCGGTTTTCAAGTCTTTATTTATTGTTACTCATGTGCCGACTTGTATGTTCAAAGTACGGTTTATAAACTCTTGTCAAGATAAAGAGCAAATATCATAAGTTTCGAAATTATATCATAAAAGATAAATTCAGGATTATGAGGAGATTTGAATCCACTACCTCCACGCTATAGAGTGTTTGACGGAACGGTAGCATCACTCAGTCAGGAAGGTCTCATAAACCTTTGTCAGATTGAAGAGCAGGTGATACCAACAATATCCTGGCGTACTATGGGATTTGAACCAGATACTTTGACGTTTCGGAATGATGTCAAACAGTCATTTCCTTTAGACCGCAGGAGGTCTCCTGTTGTTGTTTCCAATGTCACTTGCCACACGGGCAAGCCTGCTTGGAGAAATCGAGCAAATTTTAGGCAGAGTGTGCTTTTCTTGTTTTCCAGTGGCGCCCTCTATGGCCAAGAATTCGACTTCTGTCACACCATACGTCGCACCCGTTTATAGGGCTGACCCATTCATGCATCCATTCATCCACAGATCGTAATTTTGACCTGCATCAGAGAACGATCGATCTCCAATCCAGTACCTCCAGAGGTATTGATTTGTTACAGGAACATAGAGGACTTTTGCGACTCGACAGATTTAACGTGCATCAGTCACTTTACTACAAGGGGAGTCTTCGGCCGGCGGGGATCGAACTCACTAACTTTCGGACATGGGCCCAGTGCCCTACCGACCAGGCTATCCCGGCTTCAGAGGTCTCTTAATTTAGCTTTGCTATTACACAACATTTCTGTCAGATTTCTGAAATAATGAAAATATCTAAATTTCATGTTGTGCCTATCAAGATACTGTTTCAAACTACGATCAGTGAGAGTTGTAGTTATATTGTTGCGCAAAAGACACCGAAGAAACCCAGTGTTTACAAGCATACTTGTGCTAACTTGAAATATAACCAACTTCATATCGAAATGGAGTATGCCAGCAAATAGTATAAATCTTCTAATTTCCAGGCGCAGTGGACTGAAAGGGCGAGAGAGAAGTCATAGAGTAGGTTGCGGGATCGTGGCCAGACGTCCTTTACCTCTTTCATAGCTAATGACGAGATAACTCGTCATCTAAGAATATTCACTCCGTGCTAGAGACGTGATAACTCGTCCTTTACACAAAGTTTTTCGATATTATAGCAGCGTTTCCAGCGACTTATTTATCAACATTCAATATTGATTATTATTTTTTATTTGTTTTGATGTCTGTAAACACAAAAAGAGAATTGTTATTGATTGCAATTGATTATTATTTTTTAAAGTTAAATAAACAAGTATGAAGGGAATTTGCAGTCTGTTCAATTTTAGAGAAGAAGGTGAGACAAAGGCTAGCTTTTGATGTGTTGAAACTGTTAAGAAGATAGCACGCATAGAACAAAACCGAAGAATTTAAAATATGGCTCATATTGTTTCTTCTTCTTTTTTTTATATCTAGTCTCAATGAAAATATAATAAAATTATTTAATTTTAATTTTATTTGTACTCGTACTGCTGCCAAACCTGTGGCCAGTTTTGCTTTTTTCATAGATTATTCATACAGTTTTTCTCCGTTTTTCGCCTTTTAAATTCTTTAATAAGCATTAATTGCAACAAATTTTTACTGTACTTTTATATCATACTATTAATGCTTAAAAGGATTATATAAACTACTACTGCCTCCGGTGAACATCTGGTCCACCTTTTTTAATGAGTATAATTTCAACTATTTCGAGATTTAAAATATATGCAGTCAAAAATCAAGACAATATGTAGGTATAAAATCAGTTTTCCCAAGTGAGAGTGGATTTAATTTTTATCCCTTACATGCTCGCTCTTTCTGATCTTTTAAGTTTTAATGTATTTCTCAGATTTAAGAAAATGAGTAGCATGAGGAAATTATGAAAATATTAAGTACATATCCTATAATTTTAAACAAATATGGCACTTTTGCTGGATAACGAAGCAAATTTGCACTTTTGATGAAAACTAACTGCGCACTTATTCGTTATTATTAATAATCTCTATGTTATCAATTGCAGTTTTATTTACGTCTCACTAGAGCTGCACAGTGGGAAATTGGTGATGGTCTGGGAAATATCCCTGAGGATGATCCGAAGACATGCCATCACAATTTTGATCCCTTGTAGAGGTGATGACAGCCCCGCTTTGGTAACCCGACGACCTGCTTGTGAAGTCGAGCACTTTACGGTGTAACAGTTGAGGGAGGACCGATACCGTACTCCCTCGGTCTCTTCGTAGACTGATCCAAGTAGTTCCCACCAGCACACTGACCACAGCCAGTAATGTTTGACTTCGATGTTCTCCTGGGAGCCGTAATTTAACGATCAGGCCACTGCAGGACGTGTTATCAATTAATTTATAGCAAGTCTATGCATTTTCATTAAAAGTTTTTTTTCTCGCCAAAACGAAACAGCTTTTAACTGTTATGAATTTATTTAAATTAAAATAGTACACAAATAAAAATAATAAATACTTTTAGAGAAAAAACATTACTTTTCTTAATAGCTCTGTTGAAAAACTAAAAGACAGCAGAAGCAAGCAAATGAGTATTTACGTTAAAAAGTTAAGATTAGTCTTTGCATTCATATGACATATTTAACTGGTAATTAAGATCGACTTTTGATTGCCAATCCGTCCACTTTACCAAATTACCTACCTCCATTTTATTTTAGCATTATTTAAAGAACAAATCTGAGTCAATTTGTGACTGATCCATTTTCAGAGAATTTCTAACTGAAATTGAGAATTGTTGAGTGACATCCAGGACATCTCTTTCGATATTTAAAACAGTTTTTATAAAGATTTCTACAAATAAACTTAGTGTCATTATCATTTAAATGAAAGAAAGCTAAATTGCGCGAATTTAGTGAAGCTAACAAATTTTTTGAAAAAAAGTTTTTATTCCCCCTCCCAACTCGTTCTGTAACTAAATAATTTTGGATGGATAATAATTATGGATATAACTTTGAATGAAATCTCTATGATACAAATTTTGAATGAATGATTAATGTGATCAATTTTGTTAAAAAATAGTCTCATTGCCGTAAAGCTAAGCGACAATTGTTTGCGCTTTTTCATACAGCATTGAAACTATTACAAATAACAAGTACCTGAAAATTTGTTGGGTTGGATATGCTGGGTACGTCATGCCATCACAATTCATGCCATCATACCATCACAACAGTGTGCTAAACTGTTATTTTTTTTGCTTAGATTTGGTCTTGTTAAAAAAATTTTGGCAAAGGAACTAAGTACATTTTTGAATAAAACCCGAAATTAGTTTAGGAAAATTTTGAAATTATAAAAGTTTTAGTTAGTTCAGCAAGTTACAAAAAAGTTAAGAGTTTGTGACCTTAAAAATGAAATTATAGTTAAAGTAGCTTCGTTAAAATTTGAAAGCTTGTTTTTAATTTTTCACATTATTGAATTTTCGCTTTGAATTCTACATTTACATAGAGTACACACAAAGCTTACTCAATCCTAAAGTTTGCAAAATAGGCTTTCGAGCAGTGGCACACCCAATAAATAATTCCAGGGAGAGGGTTCACAAATTGATAATTTTAGTTCTACTTTTCATGAACGTTGAGCACTAAAATATTTTAAATAACATTCACCTCACATTGAGGTGTCCAGTTTCGAATCCCAGCTGTGGATAGTTGATACTAATTCTGACGTAAAACATCCTCATTGGTAGACAGAACATGGATTCGAATTACTTTGCCGTCGGACTAACGTGGCATGCTTTCGTGGTTATTAAGGGGTACAAAAGTACCAGCACTCTCTTGACCAAGTTACTGAGACAATATTTGAATACCAAATTTAATACTTTAACCTATTAACGATTTGAATACCTACTAAAATAACTAAAACTAAAGGCACAAGATTTAAAAAAAAATTCTTAAGTGGTGTTTTTATAAATGGACCTTGCAAAAAATATTTTTTCCGGTGCACCAGTTTTGATTTATTTTTCGAATAGTCCGTTAAATCCATTTTTTAATCATTCTTTTCATAATTTTACTATGCCTTTTTATCTTATTTGAAATTCATATGCCATTAAAAAAATGCAAATTTTTACCTGGTGTTTGGATTCAATATGCAATCCAGAATCTTGTCTCCTCCCCTTGTAGGAATGCTTTTTGGTAGATTCTATATTTTTTGATGTCTGTGCAGTCCAACCACGGGGTAGCTGTATTGTTCAGAGCTATGTGATATCTAACAATCAAGTATTTTCTTCAAATTCATGTTGCATGTTATTTTTCTTCCTCTTAGAAAGCGAAGTTATGTTAGTATTACTCCTTTTTCGTATTGCCAACTTTAGAATCAAACATATTATCAATTCAAATCAACGAATTAAAGTTTTCGAATATTTTTCTTTTAATTATATTGCAAAGAAATATATTCTAATTATATTTCTCTATTATAGTAAGGTAGTTAAAACCTAAAAAATGCATTAAGCAAGAATAATGGTGCTGTATGAATTCTATTCAATGAACCAAAGAAATCTCATACTCTACATTTGTTTGATTTTCAAAATAGTTTGTTTCCCTCCCACATTATGAAATGTCACTCTGACAAATGAGAAGGGGTTGAAAAAAAGAAAGAAAAAAAAAGGCCTGTCGTTATGATAATATATTCTGTTTGGTGATTCTTTACTCAATGAGACGGAATACTCAACTTCCTTTCACAAATAAAAATTAGTAGTAAGATCATTTTTTCGTATCGATGAATTTCAGAAATCAAATTGATGGTTAAGAGAAAAAGAAATTCGCAGTTCTAAGGAGGGGTTCAAATACTAAAAACTCTACTCAGGTTGCACCACTGCAAATGCAAGCTATGTACGATAAATGCATTTTCAACAAGATCCGAGTACTCTTCGTAAATTTGTATCCCGGTTAAGAGATTAATATTAGCATTAATCCGCTGTTATCTATATACATAATAATAAACGCGGCTGTGTGTGTGTCTGTAATCACAATATATCGCCCCAGAAGCCTCACCCAGGCACGAAACTCGGCACATAATTGTGTTTTGACATGAAGAAGTTTTTTTTTTTTCTTTTTCAAAAATTTGGTTTAGTTTTTTAGTTATCAGCCATTTTGTAAGAAAATCTATGCTTTTTCGTCTTCAAAGAGCCATATTCAAAAAACTATTAAAAAATGCATATACTTTTCTCCACTCTTATAAATGTATGCTAATGCGAACCTTACAATTGATATATTAATTTTCGACAACTTAAACCAATAATATACGAAGGAATTAATAATTTAATTGTAAGGTTCGCATTAGTTTACATTTATCAAAATAGAGAAAAGTTTAACTTTTGTATTAAAAATGTGGCAACATATTCGATACGTAAATAGAACGCTTCGCTTTGATATATTTGTCGCTGTTCATCTGGATATGAAGACAAAATTGCAGGACAGGAACACCTTAATTGTCCACTAATCTTCAGATTTCCTGCTATGTTTTAAAAAACTTTATTTGTGAAAACCTTTAGCGTGGCGGACAGCTGGGCGCCTTAGGCGGCTAGTTTATTAATAAAAATACATTTTTTTAAAATTTCGTTAAAGTTAGCTTTGCTGCGAGAACGCATGTGAAACAGTCGATAAATTATAAAACTAGATTTCAAATTTATTAGCATGTTTCTAATTATTTCAGAGCAATAGACTATAAGCAGAAAATATTTATTGCATATTCTAGAAACACATAACATAGATAAACCTAAAACACAATCTTTTAAATACGAAGATTAAAAAAATGAACAAAAAGCATCTCTATCTTAAGGTCCATTCTCACTGTTCAGGGCTTTTCTTTTTTGATGCAGTATTTGGTGACACAGGGCTGCGACCTCTTTTTAACTGATCACTGTCTTCCGATGGCACCGTATCTTCAGATTCTTCCGCTGAAGATTCATCTATAAACTTCATATCTTCTGAAGTCTCAGTATCTAATTGCATCGGAGATTCAGATTTACTTTCATTAAGCTCAAGTTTCAAATGGTTTTTTACACCATTAGAGATTGACTTTGTTTCAGATTCTTCGTCATCTTGAGTAGGTATTTGTTTCAGATAATCCTTGGCGCCAGTTCTTTCCAAGCGTTCGAAATCTGGCGGTGGTTCGACGAGAGCGGTACATATAATTGTTTTCCCGCTGTGTTTTTCAACTCTTTCAGATTTGCTCATTGTAGGAATATTTTTAAAAGAGATATGTTCAGGTACACGATTCCGGGCCCTTTTCAATATTTCTACGAATTCCAATGTATCAGCAGGATCATTATCTAATTGAAAATGGTACCAATTATTAAAATAGCTTAAGTTATCAAAAACATGTATTCATAAAAACACGTGCTTTCAAATGAACTATGTCCTAGTAAGGAGTATAAATCTTTTATGGATAGTGAAAATTAAAAGCTACGTTTTAGATTTTCTTCATGTGAATATTAATGTGTAAATATATTAGCATGAATCGTCGACTCAAAATTTAAGTAGCGGTTTTGTTAGGAAAGCGTTGTAACTTTTTTCAAGTAGCAAGTTAATTTACTGTGAGATTATACACACTGTCTATCTCTTTCTTATAGCCTCTACTAAAAGTGCTACATATTTAATGAAAACAGTATTTTTCTTTAATTCTTTTATGAATATTTAAAAAACATGTATTTATCAAGTAAAATAAAAAGCAATTTATCCCATCGTTATACGGAAACAATTATTTGCATTTTCTTCTTTTGAGATCGTCTTGGGTATTGAAAATCCCAATTGCATGTTCCAATAAGATTTAAAAATGCGAAATTTTGAGATTTTTTCCCGAAGACATACTGAATAGCGTTTCCCAAAATTATTTTTTCTCTTAATCGCCGAAAATTATGTTTACTAGCATAATTGCACTTGAATTTTGAAATTCAAAATTTAAAATGTTAATCCGAAATTTTAGCAAAAAATTGATTTTAAAAGTAGTTTGGAAAATCTTCTGAAAAAATGTGTTAAAAATGTACTAGCAAGAAGGAAACACTATACAATAAATCCTCTTATATTTTTAAAACTCTTAAATTCTCTTCTGGTCTTTAAAATTTTTTTTAAAAGTATTATCAAAAACACTTTTTTCTATAATGGAGAAGTAACTTTTATAATGAGATGACCTTTTACATTTTTATTTTCGTACTTATAATTTGTGTGGCCAACTGTGGAATAATTCAGGGAAAAAAAAAGGACTTGTGTTCACATTAATTTGGATAACAGTAGCCCGATTTTCCAGCAGTTTGCGAGCTGTATTCAAACCGCAGTCAAGCCGGTTTCCATCGTTTACGTATGCACCACGGTGGGAAACCGGTTAGTAACGATTTGAATGGGGTCAAGAAGAGAGGCTAACACTGTTTAGCTGTTTTCACTTGTAAGTTACGCACTCGTTCTTTTAATCTTTTCTCATCGAATTTATTTGTAGTCATGAACATTGAATTTATAAATTCGGTTATTTATAAGCAAAGAAACGTAAGTTTACGGCTAACTTATTACAGTAAGTAATATTTTGAAAATTTCTTCTACTTTCCCATAAAAAAGATTTAAAAATAAAGTTAATTTTAGATAAAAAGTTACAATTTTAACTGAATTTCTCGCTTAAATAAATTTTTTTAAAAATAAAACTTCAAAAATATTTTAACGCTTAAATTCCCAAAATATTTAAACATTTCAAATCCATAAATATTTTAACATTTCAATTCCATGAATATTCTAACATTTCAATTCCATAACTATTTTAACATTTCAATTCCATAACTATTTTAACATTTCAATTCCATAACTATTTTAATATTTCAATTCCGTAACTATTTTAACATTTCAATTCCATAAATATTTTAACATTTCAATTCCATAAATATTTTAAGTTCAAATATATTTTATAGCGTTTCTAGAAGAAAATGGCCCTATAAAGGGTTAAATAAAATTTGAACTTACAATTTAAGGTCATCGGAAGGGTGGCAATCAATATGTCTAAAAGACCATATTCCTTTAGGGTTGAAGTAGGCACGGAAACTGACATTTTACTTATTTTGGAGCCCTCTGTCTCCTTGTTAGGAAACCAATCATCTTGACTATCATAAGTTCCGGATTCGCACACACTTTCGAATTTATCATCTTCAGATGGATAAATAGAGAGCGCTGCTGCTTTTATTTGCCCAAGATATCTCTTTTCCATAAATCCTAAATAAAAAAGAAAAATTAATGTTATGAAAAATTGAAATGAGACTGTTGATACTACACTAAAAGTGTTTCAAAATTCAGACAGAATAACAAAGAAACTTACCATAATTGATTGAAATTACGGTTAGTAAAAAGCCAAGAGGAATAAGTCAACAACAGTGGTACTAGATAGCTTGTCTGACACAAAGATAGCAAGAATAAAAAGTGAAATTGAGTAAGGTCAATAAGAAAATTCTAAGAGAAAGGAAGAAATGTTATTAGTAATGCTTGGGATCCAGAAAATCATTTTCCAGGAGAGAATAATTCTGAAATCGCTGTTTAATTCAGCGGTATCCAAATGGTCCTCCGCAGAACCTGAAGAAAGGGTTAAAGGGATTCCGCAGATAAACTTTTTTTTAAACAATCCTTATTTTACATTTTTGAAAACTATGTATTTCGATTCAATTAATAATTCATTCTTTACTTATCATTTCAGTTGCATTTACGTAATTTAAAGTAAAATGACAATTTTTGTTTTCAATATATATATATATATAAAATAGAAATACAGAAAGGAAAATGTTAATAAAATAAGCGCGATAATATTTCCCATATCACTTTTCAAATCCAAAATAAAATTAAGCTCGGTAACACGTTGAATGCCACCCTAATTTTACATGGCTTGCCCGTCTGGCCAAAATGATTTTCTCAGTATGTATTGCATTAATTTCTTGATACCATTTTAGTAACGATAATAATATAAAAAATTAAACGCATTAAAAATTTACTCGAATTATGTGTTTCTAATCATCTTGGCTTCGCCGGTCACTGGTGACCCTCGTGGCACTGCGAACAAACTCAGTGCCGGTGACCCTCTTGGCATTCAACGTGTTAATAAAGAAATATGTTACCCTAATAATTATTTTATAAAATTTCTCTTAAATTTTCCTTTAAGCATTAGTCAGACATAAAATCCAATTGAAGTTATTAATGATAAAACTGTGAAAAAATTTCATTCCTCTTATTTTATAACTGGTGTTGAACAGCTGATCCATTTGCTACCGACCGCTGACCAGTCTTGTAATTTTAAACTCAACATAGAAGTTAAAGGGGCAATAGTATCAAGCACTGGACTAATTAGCTTTCGTGGAAGACTGGTCCGAAAGCTAGGATTGGTTTTAGTGCATATCACTTACTCTATTATTTATTTCTCTGTTGTTAATTTGCAGTGTAGCATTGAAATTTTCCACTCTGTTCGGAAAATAGTTTTCTTTTTTAGATTTCCAAAGCAGACCTGAAAATTTCCCAAGTGATGGTAGAAGATTAATTGAAACGTAATTTTAAATAAAATTCACTTTTTACAATTCTTATGGCTTACACTTATTTTTGTTTTTATAATTTGCTCTTATATGTACGGTTGATTTATTAGCATTTAGTGGTAGATAAAATCATAAAATTTATAAATCCAAGAATTAAAAAGAAATTTCAAAGATTCATTATCACTTTTAACTATTCATCATCTACCCTAAAAAAACAAACCTTCCGGAAGTCTTGAGGACCACTTTTGACTTGACTATTACGCTTTTTTTTGACGTTCCGGGTTTGTATTTACTCAAAATACTCAGTCATTCTGAATTTAATTTTTGTGTTATTTTTTTTGCGAAAAATGAACTCTTGAAAAATGAATGAAAATATGAAAAAAAGTACTTTGGGAAACTATCCTATATTGATGTGTAATAACTTGGTCATTGAGATGCGGACTTACTCAATTTAGTTTACACCAGTGGAAATTTTTCTATCCGAATCTTAAGTTGAAAAAAAAACCTCTATAAATACCATGAAGAACATGAAACACGGAATATGGTGAATAAAAATGAAATACTGTGGACAATCCGTAGCTGCTGCCAGCTCAACAAAAGGAGAATTGAAGCTCTTTCTGTACACAGTAATTCAAATGAAAGAGTAGATAAAAATGAGTTTACAAATAAAAACTTATAAACCTATATTTGTGGCTTGACAGTTGACGAAAATAACTTTTTTAAAGAAATATCTTTTGTTTTATTCTGGATATTGTGTCATCATCAAAAGCATTCACAAAAAATTTTGGTAAAGTAGAACATAGTCACTTCGATTACTAAATAAATAATAAAAAAAACTTTTGAAATGACAGATAAAAATTCAGTTAAAACATACCAACTGCTTCAAAAAGCAAATGTTGTACTTCATTTTTGCCAACTTCAATTGAACTGCTTTCACCTTTTTCAATATACTGCTGCTTTTCTAAAAGAAAGTATACTTCTCTTAAAGTCTGAGACGATATATTGAATCATCAGTTGCAAATTAGGAGAAAAATAAATAGGAACTTAAAAAATTTAAATCATAACTTTAAATTCACGGGATTTCTATCAGTTCTATAAGGAATGAAATGTATGGATCACTTAAGTTGTAATTCATGTCCTTTATAATTCATGATCTATAATAATAAAATGAAATGAAAAGTTTGTGTCTCTTTCATTCGCAACTCCAGACCAGTTTGTTTTGAAATTTTGAAAGTAGTTGAAAAGGGTAATTTTAGCCCATCCTAAAAATCGTTCAAACATTTCAATTAGATTGATTAGAGGAGACGTTTGAAAAATGGAATATTTAAATTGCTTCAGAACTAGTCATTGATAAAAATTAAACTGCAGATGATTTTGTTTTTTAATTATTTAAACAGTGGTGTAGTTGAGGTTTGTTACCTTATAGATTTAGTATATCAAAAAAAAAAAAGATTTAACCGTACATTTTCAAATATTTAATTATTTTTTACACGTTATGTCTGATAATCTCAATGATCAATTTGAATACGGTAGCAATGGTGGACCAAAGATTGTATAAAGGTTATACTCTTCGCGAAGCGTATAAGTTCTTTGGGTGGACTTTGTTTCCAGATTAGTATCGCGTAAGTTGTCAAAAACAGCCGTTTCTTTTGTTTATAGATTTGCTTTTGAAACATGTTTATAAGAAACGAAATAATTTAAAAACAGTGGTAGTGGAATAAAAAAACTAAGTTTTGTTCTGAGAAATAAAATTAACGGAGAAGTAATATTAAATCGTTTAGCAAAAGCGTGAGAATTTGACTGCATACTATTATTGACACTAACATGATCTTGCAAATAAGTATTAATTGAAATAAAAAATAAGCTTTTGCTCGAAAAAACAAAAAATATAGGAAAAGGTACTTATTATTTCAGCGGGACTGTAAAAAAATACCTTACCATTATTGAAGTCAATGATAATTAATTAGTTTTGTTAATATGATCTAATTGAAATAGTTAAATAAGCTATGTACTGAATAACTTAATTACTGAGAAAAAGTAATTTGTTTAAAGGGACAGTTAAAACTCGCCATTCTATTATTGACCCAATGATGCTGAATAAGTTTTGGTAAAAGGTGCTAATTGAAATAAAAAAAAGCTATGTAGTAAATAGCAAAAAAAATTCGCTTAGGAGAAACGTTAAAAATTGTCTAACTATTGCCACCAATGATAATTAATTTTGGTAATAGTTAACAATTGGTATTATGTTAAACGGTGCAGATACAAAATAAACTAATATAAGTACAAAGTATTAAATTAGTACAATTGGTATTTATTAAAACTTCAGTTTTAATATAGATACAATGTAACGATGCATTTTACAGCTCCCAGAAAGAAAAAATTTCTTGATTTGACTATCAAGTTGGCTTCGAGCATCAAAATCATGCCAAATGATACTGAATACTATTACTGATTATTTTGAGGGGATAAACTATTAAAAATGTGTTTTGCTTAAAGTAAAGCTAATGGAAAGGGCATCAAACAATTATAAATTGAAAAAAATGTGAAATAATTTTATTTTAAGTTTTCTTGGTATATGTCTTTCGACACCCGGTGACTGAGCGGTAGCGCTGTAGTGCCACAGGTCCCTGGTTCGATCCTCGGGCCGGGCAACGTCGACTCAGCCTTTCATCCCTTCAGTGGGTCGATAAATGAGTACCAAGCATGTTTGGGAACTAAACACTGGGGGTTTCGCGTTCGGCTAACCACCTGACCGGAACATCTGCTCCTGCACTCCAGAGGCCAAGGTCAAGAAAACTGAGATGGGCACAGTAGGCCTTGTCTCTCTATGAGCTGTCGCGCCACTGAGTTTAGTTTAGTTTAGGTATGTCTTTCAGTTTTGTGCATAATTTCGCAGTATTGTTAAATAGCGATTCATAGATTTACTTTTTTTTCCATCCCGCACTTAAAAAGGTTGTTCTATATATCTATAAAAATAAAAATAAAAAAAATATTGCACGTCTTTTATACGATTGTTCTAAAAATCGTTCGAAAATTTCAACTAAATTGTTCTTAAGAGAAGCTCGAAAAATAGAATTTTCAGTGACTTAGAACTCGTTCCTCGTATAAAATAAACTGCAGACGAATTTTTTAAAGATCTTACTAGCTTACAACTATCATTATTAAAAGAGGAGTCTTTAGTACGTTTTTCAAAATATTTAATTTATTCTCATTCGTTAAGTCAGATAAGCACAATGAACAACGTGTACAGGGTAGCATAAGTGGACTACGTTAGCAAATTAGTATTCCTAAAGTTACCTGAAACTATGTGTTTATATTGTGTAAAGTAAAACGGGTCTTGACAACATTTTCGGGAATGGGTTTCTATGTAATTTTAATCCTCATGTGCATGAACTCGTCTCGAAGTTTTTCGGCAACAATTATATTACACCTTATTACATAAACGTTTTTGAACTTGCCCATTTAGACAAAAAATACCCTAAAACTTTCATTTAAAAAAAAAGAAAAAAAATATAGCTTGAAGAGAGAAACTGATTGCAGATTTGAAATCAACGATACGAAAGTATCCAAGATCTGCTAGAAAGGAATTTTTTCCCCCAGTGTTATTAAGAAAAGTTTTCCGTTATACATCTCTATCAGTGCCTAGAACTTAAAGCAAAGGCATTATACAGTATAAAATATTAGTCTGGTGATGCATGCACAAGAAACTTAATTCTTGGTTATTTTCACCGTTTCAAGAACTATGTATTTTCTCTAAATTGCATAAAATTAAAGCTAACCGATGGTGCATCATGAATTGCTGGCCACTGTGAATGTTGGAACAGCATTGATAAGACACACACAGTTCAACCGTGAAAGATAATGTATTAAAAAAAACCCCTTTTATTAAAAGAATGGTAAAATTTCTGTTGAGGAAGTAGGTTGATTGATCCAGAAAAATGACTATTAGATATTTACACATTTTATTCAATAATGTATTCTACTGTAGCAGTAGTGCTTAGCATTAAAACACATAAGATATTAGTCACTATAATTTATGAATTTATGATAAAGATGAATTTTGTTTTGATTGGATATTTTTGATGAATATATTCGCAGGAAATGACTTACTCTTTCTCCAAATTATCTTCACTATCTTCTTGATGACTTTCTTAACGCCGAAGTGTTCAATCTGCCCTTTAAAATATGCGGATTCGAAGTTTTTTCCTTTCTTGTATTCTTTCCAGGATGGTCTCTTAGGTTTGTGCCTTGGGGATCTTCTAGGAGTTTGGTGAGGAGGTTTAATTTCAGATTCTTCCATTTCTACCTCAGAATCCGAAGAGGTTTCGGATTCAGGAACTAACATTTCTTTTGATTCTGATACAAAAAAAGGATGAATGGCATTTAATTTATAATTAGGAGTGAAAATTAAGTTCTGTAAAAGAAAAATTGAAAAATTATAAATACAGAAAATTGGTATTTAGTTGTAGCCAATTACTGGTTTAGGGGTGTCTGTACTGGACCAGTTGTTGTGGGTTCGAATCCCAGCGTAAGCATGGATGTAACTTTCTCTCTCTCTATGTGTGTGTTCTATGTCCTTTTTTCTGTGTGATTGTGTGAGTCTAACCAGCCCTATAAACGGATTTGTGATTGTATAAAGGGTGGGACGCTACTCCACCGCCATGGCTTTGCCAAATGTGCCTACTGGGTAAAGATAAGAGAGTAGCAATTCGGGCATTTCTGAGGCCAATGGGAAATCGACCCAAGTACCTGCCATTAAAAAAAATTAGAGTTGTAGATTTTAATTTAAATAGTTTTTTTTAATCTGATAGCATTCTACTTAAGTGCCAGACTATAACATAAATTAGCAGCACTAATTAATTTGTACTAGAACTAAATAGTTTTTTAAGTTGTTTTTTTTAAAACTACTGCAAGAGCCTTCGTTTGTTCATTTTATCACCGGAGGTAATCTAGAAAAAAAGTTCCATTTGAAAGAAATACGATTCGGATTGAGAAAAATTTATTAAGCAACGAATTACAGTTGATCGAAACGTAAATTTTAAGAAATTTAGGCTATTTGGATTAATTTGTATAGAATTTACACTGGATAAATCATTGCTAAAACTGACGCAAACATGAAAGTAAAAAGCGGAATGTAATCAGAACTTTACATTGAGTAAAAGTTAGAACTAACATTAAATTTAAACTTACTATCTCAAATCTTAAATCAACGTAATAACTTAACTGTAACTGCCTTGCCCCATCTAACAAAGGGAAAGTCAAAGTCTTTGATAACAAACTGATAAAAATAATTTTATTTCAGTTTCTAAATTTTACTTTCTCTTTACTTTTTCTCCAAATTTTGCTTACCCATAGTTGATTTTTTCCCTTAATGATTAAATATGTTCACCGAATTTGACTTTTATTTATCCTAGAAGAGAGTTTCTTATCGCTACTTTCCTAACACCCTTTTCAGAGTCCAAATTTCTGCATTCAACCTTTAAATAAGAGGACACTTTAACCGTCTTGTACTAATATAGATTCATTTTTCTTCAAACACGCACCACAGAGTTAATTCGGCACTCTATTTTCTATCTGCGCAACTCCACCAATCACATTCACCTTTCTTCCTTAGCTATCTTTGCAGGCATTTTCAACAATAGAGCTCTGTACGTTAGATTGAAAATTTATGGAATTCTATAATTTACATAATACCAATCTTTTTTCTATTGTTTGAATTATAGATCTTCCAAATTGCGAAGGTTTTAAACTAGTAGATGGCACAGTCTATTTTTTTATGAAAATATCTCAAAACAAAAATATAAGAGCTGACGAATAAAAAATGGACATGGATAAAAGCGTCAGAAATCTCGTGGTGATAGAAAGGCCACCAATCAGGTTATAAATTAAGATAATTGCACTACTGATTAGCGTGTTGTAACTTGGGCATTTAAAATGAATGTAAAGTCATGCTGGAATGGATGCTTTCAGAATGGCGCTACATACAGCCTGGCCATTTTAAGTGGCTGATGGTGAGCATAAAGTGAATATTTGAATTATTCCTGTCGATAGTAAACATAATTTAGGATAAACTATTAACAGATAGTGTTGAAGTTTCTGCGTTTGGTGTTCATTCTTATAGATTTTCCAAACACCCAGGTGAAGCAAACAATGATCTTCAATGAATCCATTGCTGTTGATGAGGAAATCATTAGTGGTTACAAAATTGATAAGTGACTATGTTTTGTTAGCTGTAAGAAAGGTCTCTAAGGAACAGTGCAATCACTATCTATCACTACAAACCTTACTACTTCGCATTATTTTTATCTGGATGAATGCTACAATATAACTTTAAACTCCCTTTAAATGCTTTCATGCGAATTAGTTACAGGAAGTGTGCAACACACTGTAGTTACTTAAGTTACTTTATAGTGTTACTTTATAGTGTAACTTAAGATCCCACTTAAGTTACTTTAAAGTGTTGATGTTTTTGACATCGAATTTCTAACGTTATTACATTTGTTTACTTTTCAACCTGGTAACCTTTGACTTTATTCGGAATCATTTTATATACTTATTTATTCTTATACTTTAATACTTTTTTTTACTTATATACTTTTTTATTTATATACTTATTTAAATAAAACATACTTGTTGTATCCCAATAGTCGTCTTTATCTAATCTATCGCAGAAACTTGAAATTTCTTCTTCTGTAAATTTCAAATGTGCAACTTCTTTTGAGGCTTCTGTCTCGTATTCAGTAGGTATGTTACTCAAACTTCGTTCGCTTCTTTTCTTATTTATTGTCATGATCCAACTCTTTCGCTGATCATCCGTGAAGCGTTTTTTTCCAAGATGAAACATGAGAATCTTTTCAAAAGGTTCTCTAGCTTCTTGAAGTTTTTTTACTTCATATACTACTGGATCATCTTCCACGCTTCTCTCAAATATTTCATCAGAAGTTAGCTCACAAACTGGACTTTTTCTTATAACTTCTTTTGAGGGAGGAGATTTATCTGCTTTCAAACATATTTCACTCTTAGAAGAATCTTCTAAAGTAGATGGTCCAGGTTGAGAATCCTCTTGATCCCTTGGCGGATCTGAAATAAAAAACTTGTTTTGAAGGATTTTACCAACACTTTTAAAAACATGAGATAGTTAACACTGATTAAAATATTATTTACGTTTGAAGTCGTATATAAGCACACCAAATAAGAATGATTAGGTATAATTTTAGACTGTTCTAATGGAGTTGCAAACTAAGCCTGATAGAAATTTTTTTTTTTTTTTGAAATAAAATAGAATTGAATGGTTTAACGATACTAAAACTGGAGTCTTAAACCCTACGAATAAAGACTCAAGGTCTATAAAAAGATTTAAGAGAAATTTAAAAAGAAAAACTTATTTTTATTTGGTAATTCTATGTATTTTAAATTTTTTTTATCTTTCATTCTATCTGATTTGGGTAAGGATAAAAAAAAGTTAATTCTTTTTTATGGTTTTCCTAATTGGAATCAAGACTTAATCAACACAGAACTTTAAAAACAACTGAATAACAGTTAAATCAAATAAAAATAAGTAATATGAGCTGGATTTTAAGCAGTGATAGAGGATTAACTTTAAATAAGTCAAAAGATTTAGGTCTGCAACCTGGGCAACACGATGTTTAACTACACAAAATATTTTATTTAACTATATCAGAAACGTAATCGATATAACATTAGTTACATGATTCGCAGATGATGAATGAATTTCCGTCATTTTCATGGGACGAAACCTTTCAATTCTCTGCTTTACTAAAAATTAAACTGGAACTAACTTGATACTAAAAATTAAACTGGAATCATAGCATTTAATTTTTTAACTACTATTAGTATAATTCCGTTTTTCCATATTGCCATTCTGTATTATGGCAAGAGAATATTTATCGGAAAATAGGATGCTTTAATATCTCTTCGTGCTATTGTTTCTAGGTTGATTCTTAATTTTTTTAATGGTTGTGAACAGGTGCCAAAGTGAGCTAGTAAGTGAGAAAACTTTTCCAGAAGTAAAAGAAGTTTTTAAAACTTTTTGAAGCCAGTTAAGAAAGTCAGGGTACGAGAAATACATTTTTTTCTATTGAATCATTCAACTACAGGATGTAATGTTTTTTTAAACTGCAGTATCCGACAAAAAAGTTCTTTTCCAATGAGGTTAAACGTGATTTTGGCATAGTTAAAAAGATAATTCATTTTATTTTTATATTTTTAATTTATACAAAATTTTTTTCTGGAGAAATACTACTTAAAAATGTAACAAATTAAAAAATTGTACAAAATTCGTGCTTTTTTTACACTCACAAGAACTAATTTAAAGAAAATATGAAAAGGAAATTTACAGTGCGCGAAATGAAAAACGAGTCATCCTGAATACTCATTCTTAATCGTTCGTAGGGGTGACCTCAAATATGCTAATTAATTAGTGCAGACGACATTTTATGTGGCGAAATCAAACACAAAAACGTACTTTCTCTGAATAAATATACCTGATTTTTTTTAACGGATTTAGGTTTGTGACCAACAAAGTATTGGGGGTAGCCGTAATCTGGGAAATATAGTCATCTTAGTCTGAACATGAGAGTGATCCAAAGTTTGGATCCCTTACTGTTAATTTTACTTTTTGCGCATTTTGCCATATCTCGAGAACTTTTAAGTGAATTGAAAAATTTTTGCACACATTTATGTAATTCGTTTTTCCAAATATAATTCTATGAAAAAATTAAATTTTAGAATATATTTAATATTTTATTTAATAATAGCCGAAAAAATTTTTAACTGTAACGTATACCATTTTTTACATAATTTCAAATTACGGAATTTTACATGGCAAAATGCAAAATTGGAGCGAAATTGGTTGAATAGTCCTTAGATATATGACTTCGTTAGAATTCCAATTTTCAGGAGCTATTTAACCGATTTTGCTCAAATTTAATATTTTGCCATGTAAAATTACTTAATTTAAAATTATATAAAAAATTGTATACCTTACAGTACAATTTTTTTCTTCTATTATTAAATAAAATAATGAAAAATGATAGAAAATAATAAATATATTCTAAAATTTAATTTTTTCATAGAACTATCTTTGGATAAATGAGTTCTATAAGAGTGTACAATTTTTTTTAAAACTCTCTCAAAAAGTTCTAGAGACAAAGCGAAATACGCAAAAAGTAAAATTAACATTTAGGGGTCCAAACTTTGAAACGCTCTCCTGATTAAACTATGCCGCAGTACTTCAGTGGCGCCATCTATGGCCAGGAATTCGACTTCTGCCACGACATTCACACAACACAACCACAACCCGTTTATAGGGCGGGTCACATTCACACACAAAGGAGAAAGGACATAGAACACACAGAGAGAGAAAGAAGCATCCATGCCTTGTGCGGGATTCGAACCCAGGACCTTTCTGATGTAAGGACACGTTCCCTGCCCCCTACCATTAAAAATGAGTCTTAGAATGTGAAGATTTGATTATTTGAACAAATGTTATTTAGGGTGGTCCTTTTTTGGTGAACTGTACATTAAAATAGGGAATTTTACTCTACTTTTAGAAGAGTCTTCATTGGATGATCCCTTTTGAATATCATCCTTATTTTTTGTTGATTTTCCTTTAGGTGGCATGCCTGAAATGCAGAAGAAAAAAAAGTAATAAAATTAAGATTGATGAAAATATGAAACTTAGATATAAAATATTCAAAATTAACAAAATTTTATTTTGACTTCAAAGTAGTAATTAAAGATGGCAGTTAAAGAATAAATTAGATAAACTAGGAATTGATTGACTAAATTACACGACAAGAGTGACATTTCCTCGTTCCTTTGTTGAATTTTTTGATTGCAATTTTGCATATTTTAATATTGATTTTTAGAAATTTCAAAACCTTGATTTAATTGTTTACTTAACGTGAAGCAAAAATGAAACTCTTAGGTTTCTCTTTAGGTTTTATGCAGTTCATTATTATTTGACTTTAAGTCAGTTCTTAGAAAGTATAAAAAAAATATTTTTCTCCAACAAATGCTTTTAATAGAAATGGGAATAAGTTTGAATAATAATTAAGCGTAAAAAACTGAAATTTTAAGAGGAAAATTTATCCCACTTTTCCCGCTTAAAGAAATCTGTTTCAAATTATCAATTAAAGGAAAATCTTATATTTTCTACATTGTTTTAGTGTCAATGGTAAGTGTCAAACATTTTTTTAATTTAGTCATGAAGATTATCAGTTTAGTAATTGTATGAACAATTTTCAAAAATCATTCATGCTAAGCATCTGTCAATCCTAAATAAAATCATCTTCAGTTTAGTATAGTTAAGAAAAAATGATTTTACTTTCAATAAGTATTAGCACCACACATTTGAAAAACTTTTAAAAATGCATTAAAATTGTGATAGTTATATGTAACAGCATCGATAAAACTATTTTAAAATTCAACTTATTTAATTACGTTAAAGTTCATGTTGTACAAAAATATTTGAGTAAAAAAAGAAAGTTTGTGAAATAGGTTAATGAATAAACTGAAATATTTATCTTTAAACAGTATTTCCAAATACATACATGATTCCTTTATTTGAAATTTGAATATCCGTTTTGAAATTGCTTCTTTCAATAAACCGTAAAAACATTCCTCTCCGTATTAGTTTTAATTATTGAAAAATATTAAATAAAAGTGAAAAAATATGAAATATAATTTTGAAAAAATATAAACGGAAGATCATAATAAGTATTTTATACTTCAATCAGTATAAGGCAGAAATCAGATATATCATATTAAAATGTTTTATAACCCAATTTTTCAGTCAGGAGAATGGTCGAAATGTTTGGATCACTTAATTCTAAATTTACTTTTTGCGTACTTCTCCAATATTTTAGGAAATAAAAAAAATGTACGCAATTATAAAATTAGTTTTTTCAAAAGGTGTAAAATTTATTTTCAATATTCCGCTTAAAAATAAATTTTTAATAATTATTTATTTTGTGTTTTTTCTAATAAGATAATTAATATTGAATTAATATTTCATTATACAGAATCAGATACAAAACTTGCTTTTTCTAAACATTTTTTTATCCTTAAGGATTTGAATTGTTGACAATCAAAATATAAGAGGTTGCAATCTGGATAATACAATCCCACAATGGTTTATTCCGGAGAGTATTTAAAATATCTAGGGTCTTGTACGTAATTTCCTTTCTTACGTATTTCTGAAACTGTTTGAAAGAATGAAAATTTTGCACCATCTATATATATAGTGAAGCTGTTTTACCAAAGAATAAATCTATGCTCTAGGCAAAAAACATTCTCATTTTTCCTGTAGCAAACAGAATTTTTCTATGTACAAAAATAATTTTTTCTAGTAGGAAACGGAATTTTTTCTAGTAGGAAACGGAATTTTTTCTAGTAGGAAACGGAATTTTTTCTGTAAGAAATAGATTTTTTTGTTGTAGGAAATAGATTTTTTTCTATAGGAAATAGAATTTTCTCTCTACGAAATTGAATTTTTTATACAAAATGGAATTTTTAGAAGATTTTGATGTGCTTTCATGCCTTTTAAGACTATTCAGATTTCAAATAACATCCGAAACTTAAATATAACTAACAAAAAGAATCTCGAGAAAAAAAAATCAAACTTTTTTTTTCGAAATATTACAGTTCAGAAACTGTTTGACAGATTACTTTCAAATTTTAAATTTTTTCTTAAAATTATAAAATTTATGTAGTATATTCCAAATAAAAACTTTCTCGATCTATATCATATTAAATAACAAAAAGAAATTACAAATATTTTAGCATAAATTCAGAGTTTCAAGGATGTGAAAAAATAAGTACATTGCATTATGTTTTAACTTTTGCCCACTCTCATGAATAAACTATTTCGTCAATATTTGCCATAATTTGGGCATCTATCGCACTTTAAGGACAAAAAATTCCCATTCGTTGAAAAAAAATTTACTCAGTAAAAGTACGTTTCTGTATCTGATTTCCTAACTAAAAATATTGTGAGATCAAAAATTACAATTTCGGACTAAAAAGATTCTTTCTATGAGAAAATCGGATGAAATCAAAAGTTATACGGATGATTTTTTATTTCACATAGCACAAACTGTTTAAACATGAAAAAATAAAAGCAGATTTTATAATTATTTTATCGTTTTTTCCTTTTTACTACAAAAACAAATAAATAAAATACCATAACATATTTTAACGTACATTCTATAACATATTCACTTGTGTATGCTAAAGAATCCTTTTTTTAAATTTTTTTATTAGAAAGAAACTCTTAAGTATTTCATTAATTTCAGTTTATTTGGATTCACTTTGTTCACTAACTTTCAACACTGCATGACTCTGTGATAAACATTACTAGTTTTGTTCATAACATTTATTCTAAAATATGAGCTAATTATGTTAAAAGAAAATTCAGACATTTAATGATCTAAAAATATGCAAAATTAAAAGATCAAAGCTGTAATATTTATTCTAGAAACGTACATTTAGATATGCATTTTAAATTTTAATATAATAAATAATATTTATAATAAAATTTTTATAAAAATTAATTCTATCTTTAAAGATAATACAAAATGTAATAATTTAAATGAGTTTCAGCTTTTAAATAGCATAAAAAGCATGCCGAAACATGAACAAAAACACGAAACATTCAAATGTTAATGTTGTTTATCAATTATATATAGTAAACTTGTCTTTTAAATAAATCGATACAAAATTATGAAAAGCAATTTAGAAAAGCACGAAATTGTTTTAATATTTTTACTTACTCAGTTAAATGTTTGAGTAACTGATTTAAAGCACATCAGTAGGCTAATCTCCAAAATTGACAGTCAAGTTAAACTAGAGATTTGATTTAACTAAAAGGATGTATTTACTCGAGACTAATTAGAATTACGATTGCTTATTTCTGTCCAATGCTAGGTACTATGAGATAAGATTAATTCATTTATTTGTTCACATATGCGTGCACGTGTGTAGTTTCAATTCAATGAGCGGCCTATATATCCTTTTCATCGTTCGTGGTTCGTAGTTCATTTACGTCGAACTAGAGCTGTACAATGGGCTATTGGTGACGGTCTGGGAAACATCCCTGAGGATGATCAGAAGACATGCCATTAAATTTTGATCTTCTGCAGAGGGGATGGCACCCCCGCTTCGGTAGCCCGATGACCAGCATGCGAAGTCGAGCACTTTACGGTAGAACAGTTTAACGAGGACCAATACCGCACACCCTCGGTCCCTACGCAGACTAATCCAAGTGGTCACCCACCCACACACTTGCCGCAGCCAGTGATGCTTGACTTCGGTAAATCCTTTCCAAGATGATAGAACTAGTTAGAGAAAGGCAATAAAAAGATACATCCTGTAATAAAGAGGGATTCACATCTGCTACTTCCACACTTCTGAGTGTTAGGCGTAAAATAGTCACCCCTCGGTCACAAAGCCCTCCTAAGCATGAGATAAGATAGTCAAATACCAGAGAGGTCGAGTGAATAAGGTTTCGGATTTCAGAAAATGTAACAGGTTCGTGTTCCGAAGTCACTAAAGAACTTATCGCATACCAGTGCTTTAAATGTAGGACAAACATACGTTAAATGTTTTGAAGCTTAAAGGTTGGGGTTTTGAAATTCTCCTAAAACTACATAAAATTTTACTTTTTTGGGGGGTAATTCTTTTGTAATTTGTATTATTTATTCTTAAATTTGACAATGTCTTCAAAGTTGTACGAACTCATGAATCTGCAGATGAATAAATTAATGAATACAGAATAAATTACTAAAATAAAATGACAAAGAGTTTCCGATTTGAAAAGTGCACATGTTTCAACCGTCAATATTTCTATGCAGAAGAATTCTTCAGCGCTTCGAAGAGCAAAGTATACAATGCAAGCAGGATTAAGCTAAGATCAATTTCATCATGGAGATCGTAATATGTTGGATGGCTGTATGGACACCTGGGACAAATATATGAAACTAGAAAAGAGAAGATTAAACGTCTATGCCCTGAAAGTCTCAGGAAAACAGAAAGTAGGCATCGAATATAGCTTTTCTCTAAAGAACTGTTTGTATGTATGAAGTATCTCTGAAATTGCTACTATATATTACATTAAGGAGGCCAGGATAGCCTGGCTGGTAGGGTGATGGACCTATGTCCGAGATGTCGTGAGTTCGATCCTAGCCGGTCGAGGACCACCCTAGCACAAAATCGTGACAGGTATACATTAAATCTGTCAGGTTCACTAAGTCCTCCAAGTTCCCAAAAGCAAAGCAATACTCTGGGGGTACTGGATCAGAGATTTATCACGCTCTGGTACATGCCTAAATTACAATCTGCTGATGGATGGATAGTGTGTGAATGTGTCCTCCCCGTAAAACGGGATGTGACATTTGCATTTTGTCTCCGAAATCATCCTCAGGAAAGTTTTCCAACCCGTCGCCAATAGCCCATTATGCAGTCCTAGTGCGGCGGTAATGAATGTACCTGCACATGCCTATATATTAGATCAAACGATTGCGCGTTATTGCTTTTTAAAAACAGAAGCTGCTTATTGATTTCAGACCATGAACTTGTGACTTTCTCTAGTAGGGTCCGGTACTTTAATATCTCAATCATTTAGACCCAAGGGGCCACCCTGGTCAAGCAGTATCACTCATCAAACGTTCTGTAGCATGTAGGTAGAGGGTTCGAATTCCATCGTAAACCTGGATGCATATTCATGCCGATCTCTTCTGTATTGTACAATGTGTCTTTCGACTTGACAAAAGCTTAAAAGCTGTGTTTATGTATTTGAGTACACAAGCCTGCATTTTCTTCACAAGCCTGCATGTGTACCAATAAATAAATAAATAAAATGTCAACCTAAACATGCAACTTAATTTTAATATTGATCTGTCGCTGTGGTTAATTGAGTTATAAGATGTTAAAATCTTCCAGCTGCGTAAGTTTTAGATTTTTTTTTTACATAAAATCCATTAATTTAAAATATCTTGCTTAAATAGTGCTGTCTAGATAGTAACAGTGTTGCTCAGATGGTATACTGGAAAGCGTCACTGTCGATCATTGGTTATACCAGGGCTTTATTTGCAGAGATCAAAGTTGGCGGTCCTATCAGAATGCGTTGTCACTGATTGCATTTTAGTGGCTTAGAATTCACTTTAATGCACCAGCCCCGTACTAAAATTGTATCACTGTTTTTTAACTAAGCCTGTTACTGTTTTCACGTGATTGTCCAATTATTTTTTGTTCTTCAGATCGGTAGTTTTTGTGAGAAAAGAACAATTATTCTGAACCCCTCCCGAAATGAAATATCTAGATAGCCGTAATAAAAAATATAAAGGGCAGAAAACTGAGATTTATTCTTTTTAAATTTGACCTTAAAGTGTTATACGTAATTAGTATCAATAGTTGTGTTTGTTGTTGCTGTTTCTTATGTCACTTGCCACGGGCAAGCCTGCTTGGTGAAACCGAGCAAATTTAAGGCAGTGTGTGCGCTTCCTGTTTTTCAGTGGCGCCATCTACGGCCAAGAATTCGACTTCATTCATCCACAGATCGTAATTTTGACCTGAATCAGAGAACGATCGATCTCATATCCAGTACCCCCAGAGGTTTTGATAGTTATCAATAGTATCAATAGTTATTGTATCAACTGCAGTAAATTTAAAGCAATGAGTCTGAAATCAAAATAATCTAGTTAAATAAAATATCACTGATAATTTATACTTAACCAACAATTTAGAGTCAGAATTTGTAACTTTTATTATTTTTTTTATATTTTATTTGCTCCTTTTTTTCGAGAAATTATTTTTGACAAGATTGTAATAATATTGACAAAATAGTGGAAAACAAAATTATTTAAAAAAAAAGAAAAAAGAATGATATGAAAAAAAAGAAAATAATTTAAAAAAAGGAAAGAAATATATGAACATCATTAAGGCATTTGTGGATTTTTTCCCCTCCTGATTTCAAACCGGAATGGTGCTGCATCGGTTTTCGCGTACCTTCACCACTGCATCCAAACAAAGAGCAGTATCAGTCTGTTTAACTAGTACAATCCTTGGAAATCTTTTTTTTTTCACTTTTAATTAGTTAATAATTTTTAGTTTCCCTGTCTATTAACAGTACTTATTCATTGTTTATTCTTTTCATATTTTTAAGCTTATTAGCAGTTCTTATCGTGAACTTTCATTGAGTTCTTAACAACATGCTTTTCAAATCTTTATTTTCCATGTTAATACGCCTTCTTTGTAATGCTCATTAACAATTCTTTTTACAAAACTTATTTAGCTCGTAATTCAATTTTCTTTAATTTTTTTGCTTTTCAATTTTCATAAATTGATTTATAGACTATTTGCTATTAAGCAGGCTATAAATAAATTTATTTTTCGAGATTAACAATAATTTTCGCTTGCAAATAAAGTTAAATTTTCCTTCTAAACTTAAAAAAAATGATGATTCGATAGTAAAATAAATATTTAATGTAACCTTTAAAAAAAGAAATTGTCTGTGAATTGTTACATTTCATATTTAATATCCGGTGGCTGGGTGGCGCAGTTGGTTTGTCGTCGGTCTTCTGAGCCCAAGTCTGCGGGTTCGATCCCCGACCCAGACACCGGATTTTCGGGATGTAGAAAATCCTCAGCAGCCAAGTCGTATGATTACGCGGCATGTAAAAGATACCAGGAGTGCCTTATTGGCTCCTGGCATTTCCGGAAAAATTAAATTCCTAGTGCACTTTAGTATCCAAATAGAGTCTCGGTGCTGCCATCTAGTGTGGCAGAAACTAGACGTCCAAATTAACATGACTGACGGTATCTCACCCATTGTGGTGGTCCTGAAAGAGTGGATACCACCTCTGGAGAACGTACTAGGTCTGCTCATCGGCAAGACCGATTGTACAGCTCATTGGAAATATAAAAAAATATTTAATATCCTGTCTGATGGATAAAAATTTTTTTATTACTCTTTATATGAAAATTTGATGTAAGAAAGTAGTCAATAAAACTGGTTATGAAAATTTTATTTAAAAATGATTGGAACAGATAACTGATACAATGTGAAGCTTGATATGGAGCTAGTTAAAAAATAAATACAACTAAGTCCGATAAACATTTACTGATAATTGGCGGAAACAGTAACTGTAGTACTCTTGCTATTCGTCGGATTTGACGTTTGGTAATCTTTTTCAGTGGTTGACTTTGTTACTAAACTATTTTGATCATCTTGATGCTTGCAAATAAACAAAACCTGCAACCAGCAACTAGAAGTAAAATAATAATGAACAAATTATTCGGAACTTTTTGATCCTGGACATATTGTAAAAATATATAAAAATAGATGCACAAAATAAAAAAAAGGGACTTAGCTTGAAATGCGCGTTTAAGAAGCAACAAAGTTTAAAATGCCAGTTTAGGAGCTTGAAATGCATGTTTAACTCCTTACGGTCCAGAAGTACTTCAATTTTTATTTGCAACCAGGTATAATTATAACGATTAATTTTAATAATTAATTCTAATTACTAATTAATAAATGATAGCACATGTGGCCACAGCCAGGATAGCCTGGTCGGTAGGGCGCTGGACCCATGTCCGAGAGTTCGTTGGTTCGAACCCCGCCGGCCGAAGACTCCCCGTGTAGTTGGTGACTGATGCACGTTAAAATTCTGTCGAGTCGCAAAGTCCTCCATTTTTCCATAGCAAATCAAAACCTCTGGGGGTATTGGATTGGAGATCGATCATTCTCTGTTTCAGGTCAAAATTACTATCTGTGGATGAATGAATGGGTTCGCCTTATAAACAGGTGTGACGTATGGTGTGGCGAAGTTGAATTCTTGGCCATAGATGGCGCCACTGAAAAACAAGAATCGCGCACTCTGCCTTAAATTTTCTCGGTTTCACCAAGCGGGCTTGCCCGTGTGGCAAGTGGCATTAGTACCAACCAACCAACCACATGTGGCAACAATAAGCGCCATAAAAATAATAAAATGATTTGTGCCTCTAAATGCTAAGCAATGAACCCTGTATGTAGAACAGCCATGCTGCTTAAAAGGCGCCATTGGTCTGTTAAGGGTAAGAAATAAACATAGCTCAAAATGCTTATTTAAGGGAAGCAGAATTGTTTGAAGAGAATATACCGAAATAATATGAAAATTCGTTTTGTTTCTTAGCATTGCGAATAATCATTTTTCGTCCCGCAGTGGACTGATCGTTAAGACACGGTTCCCAGCAGATCATCGAAGTCAAGCATCACTGACTGCGGTCAGTGTGCGGGTGAATGACCAATTGGATCAGTCTGCGTAGGGACCGAGGGTGTGCGGTATTGGTCCTCGTTAAACTGTTCTTCCTTAAAGTGCTCGACTTCGCGTGCAGGTCGTCGGGCTACCGAAGCGGGGGGGCCATCCCCTCTGCAGAGGATCAAAATTGTGATGGCATGTCTTCGGATCATCCTCAGGGATGTTTCCCAGACCGTCGCCAATAGTCCATTGCGCAGCTCTAGTGCGACGTAAATGATCAAATCAATCAATCAATAATCATTATTCACCAATTAGTTATTTAAAATGCATTATTCATTCAGCATGAAATAAATAATCCTTATAAATTGAAGAGGAAAGATAAGTTTGGTTGTGTAAAAACTTCATTTCTATTTTCTTTTTCAAAAATTATAAAGATAGGAAAAGTTGACAGAAAAAACAGAAAATTCAAAAGTTGTCAACAAAAAAATTTGAAATAAGAAAAAGAATGAAAAACAAAGCTTAAAAAATGGGAAAGCTGAGAGAGGCAATTCAGAGCAGGTGGAATTTCCAAGCACTATGAAGAGGTGATTCGAAACACTCGTTGCAATATGCATTCATATGAATGGAAACAACATTCTGAAGCACCAAATGAGCTAATGTGACGTATGTGGGTAGAAGCTCAGCGAGATGCACTGGAATTTTGTTTTATTCTTATGAATGCCGATTCCTTAGCTAATGACATGAATTCCTCCCCACTTCTCTAGAACGTTTAAATCCTCATGTTTGCCTTTCTCGGCTACCGCAATTTTTCTAGTTATTTTTAATCTTTATTTTTCCTTTTTTTGGTGGCAATTTTACGCATTTTGTTTCAAATGTGTTTCAGTTTTCTCATTCACGGCTGGTAAGTCTTGAGAATGAGTACCTATTTTTTAGGGCTCCAAAAATATCAATTTTCAAACGAAGTTTGTACATTATCAAGTATATACAAATTCTATATGATCATTTACTTAAACAGATATTTCCATATTCTTAAATATGCATTTTGAGATCTATCAATTTTTAGATATAACTATGCCATTAACATTATTTTTTCAAATGATTAAGCAAAATTGTCACAGTTTTCTTAAACGCTCATTTTCAATGATATTCATTTTTTGATGTCTCACTTCAAGCTATGTTCACACAATATAACGCAAAATTTTGAAGCTATGTCCAAACTAAAGAATTCACCGTAGAAAAGTTCTTAATTAGGAAAATTAGCTTTTTCATCAATACATTTTTGCAAAACTTTTTTACAAAACTGTCTTCTTAAGTAAAAAAAATATTTTAGTTTTTTTAAAATTCCATTCCATAGATTCTTAATGATTGTGCTCACTCCTATCAAAATATTTTAGTGAAATACTATTATTTTGACTATTTTGAAATAATTTATTTAAATTATGTTAAAAAGAGGTTCAAGGGATGAAACGTTTGCCTCTCAATGAGATGAACCGTGTTCGAATCTTAGCGATGGCTGGTCGATACGAATTCTACACCAGGCTTGCATCAACTACAGTGCTGACGTAAAAATACCCTAAGTGCTAGACAGATCATGGGTTTTAGTCAGCATGTTGTCAGCCTAACCGTGAGAGGTTTTCGTGGTTTTCCTCTCTATGTAACGCAAATGGGATTTAGTTCCATCAAGAAAGTCTTCCAAGAAGGCGAATTTCTCCCAATAATTGATCCAGGAGCTCCTTTGTCCTCTGGAATGGATTCAAAATTACAAATCTACGGAATTGAACATCAGTAGTCGTAAACCCGAAATTGGGTCTGCTGTCCAATGAGGGTTATGAAATAAAATTATGTTAAAAAAAGAATTAATGACTTTTTAAGTCTAAATACTAGTTTAAATTACAATTTATTTAGCTGCAATAATTTTTAATGAAGATTTCGCAGCTTAAATAAGAGCTTTGGAACAATTTGAAAAAAATGTACGCCCAGCAGCAAGAAAATGTGATCGAAATGAAGATGACCACCGAATTTCGGCTGATACTCTAATAAAATATGAGGCGTCACATGAAGGTAGATAGTCAAGAAAAAGGGATAGAGTAGCATTTGAGACTACTAAAAGTGGTGGAGAAAAAGTATCTTATGAATTTGATATTGATGCATTACAGTTAGTAGCAAAATTGCAGGATATTTATATGGATTATTGATCCCAAAACGTAAAACGCAATTGACTTGAAACTATGTTACTCTTACTTGCTGCATCTCTAATTAGTACAATTTACATCCGATTTACTATAAATTTGAACTCAATGCTCACATTAATTATAGTTTTCGTTGTACGCTGAAATTTTTAATTGGGTTGACTAGTTTTGAGTATTAATAAGTGTAACTTAATTTTGTTTATTCTTTTGAATTTGCTTTTCAAAACGCAGCCTTTTTGTGACAAAAATTTATTTTCAAAAATTTCTACTAGCAACAAAAACTACATTCCTTTTTTTTTCAAAAAAAGAAAAAAATAGTACAATAATACATAATACATAGCGTTATCATTTGAGAAGGATACTTCTACAACTTATAAATACAGCAAGTTTTAGATATCTAAAAAAATAAGTTATAAACATTATTATATGTATATAAGTTATATATTATACAATAATTTTTTTTATTATTATTATATATAAATTATATATATTATTATATAAGTTCGAATTGCTAAAACTTTTGTATTTGTAGCATAGAGAAAAAAAGATAAAAGTAAGTACAATAAGATTAAAAAAAAAATGTATTAAGTTTATCGCAATCGTTGCAAAATGAATTTAAAAATAATTAATCTTTTTTACAGGATTCTAGGAATTCTATTTACAGGATTTCATCAATGATAATGTCAATGATAGGTAAGCGAATTTTTACGGTTGGAACGTCACCCATCAGATCCGGCAAAACTCTTTCTAAAATAATGTGATAGGTATTTCCGTCGAGGCGTTCATGTAGAAGGTAAGGGCCAATCAACATGTCACCAATAATACCAGCCCAAACGTTTACGCTGAAACGTTGTTGATGTGCATGGGCACGTGTACATCTTGGATTTTCATGCCCCCATACGTGCATGTTGTGCAGGTTCACGACACCATCCCGTGTAAGGCAGGATTCATCAGAAAACAAAATCCATGATGGAAAATCTGGCTGTGCGACTCGCTGTTGCAAATACCAGCGTGAGAATGCAATGCGTTTGGGATAATCGTCAGCGCACAATGCCTGTACTTTTTGGAAGTGGTAAGGGTGTTGTATGTCATCGCGCAGTATGCGCATTATGGTGGAACGAGCTACACCCAAGACACGTTCACCTTCTCGGAGACTTCTTTGCTGGTTGATGGCATACTCCTGTAGCACGGTTTCTTCTACGACAGGTGTGCGTGTAGCACGTTCTCGACCGATGTTGCTACGTGCTACGAAAGCACCTGATTCACATAATCAGCGGTACAATCGTCCAAACAAAACATGACTTGGCTGACGTCTGTTTGGGAAGCTCTCAAGGTACGTCCGTGCCGCGGCTCGTCCATTTCCATCAGCGGCGCCGTATACGTAATGCATGTCTTCCATTTCTGCTTTACTAAACTCATTCATCCTTCTCCTTCAACGTCCACGCCTGAAATAATTGTTTTTCCCACTCTCCCGTTTTCGTGTAATTATCGCCCTCTAGCGGTCGCAGTTTTAATTTTCGGACACAAGTTCCTATGTAAATCTTGTTCATCATGATATGACAGACCAGCATGTTAAGTTTGTAAACGACCTTTTGGGACACCCTGTATATCGAATAATTTCGTCAGAACGCATTTTAAAATACGAAATCATAAGGACTTAATACTGTGGAGTAATTCTGAAGAGGAAACTATGGACTTAGTTAAGTCAGGAGAGTGGCTAGAAATATAGTTTTTTTTCCTCCTATTCCAGCATATCTCTGAAATTATTTAAGAAAATCAAAGTATTTTTTGCACGCAATTAAACTTATTTAAAAATATTTAAAAGTTTCAAATATAATGGTTATTTTTTATTGAATAATTTAATGATGATTGAAAATTTCTTAAGTTGTAAGATATACTAATTTTAACATTGATTTAAACTTGTAATTTTAATTTTCAAACTCCAAAGTTAGAATGATATTGGTCAAATAGTTTCGGAGTAAAAGAAATCAAGACTGTCATGTAAATTTTTTTTCTTCTCAAGAACTGTTTGACAGATTCGGTTCAAAATTCAACAGTTCTGCCTGAAGTAGAATTAATATTAAAGGGAGAAAACTTCAGACCACTCATTTGAATAAACTATTTAGATCTTTTTTCCTAGATTGCGAAGACCTTTTAATATTTTGAGAGTCTCATTTTGTCAAAAGAATAAATAAATAACTGATCTGTCTTGCGTCTGATATTGAACACGAATTATGGCCAGCTTAAATGGAAATATCACTAGCAAAGATTAATTAACCTAATTAAGAATAGCTTTTCAAACAATTTTAATTGCACAACGCAGTTCGATCATTAGATCAAAAGTTATTAAGCGTAACGTTCATTGAAGCCATCATTTTTACAAATGCTTTCCCATTATGTATTAAAATCAAGGCTAAAAGATTTTTCATAAAATATTAACAAATGGAATGTTTCAAATATTACTTTTTTAATGATTGCATGACTTTGTTTTTATACAGTGCTCCAAAAAAACGAAAAAAAAACGGTCCACTCTAATTAACTTTTGATTTAATGATCGGATATTCACTTTCTAGGCCTCAAACATAATGGGAGTTTGAGAAATGACCTCGAATATGCTAATTAATTAGTGCAAAAAATATTTTAAGTAATGAAATCAGGCACAAAAAGCACTTTCTCTGAACAAACATACTTTTTTTCTCACCACGGATTCGGATTTCTAACCCCCAAAATATAAGGGCAGCAGCAATCTGGGAAATAAGTATCCCATAGTTTGGTCAGGAGAGCGATCCAAAGTTTTGACCCCTTAATGATAATTTTACTTTTTGCGTATTTTTAAGCGAATTGAAAAATTTTTGCGCACAATTATGTAATATGTTTTTAGAAAGATAATTCTATGCAAAAACTACATTTTAGTAAATATTTATAATTTTTTTATTGTTTTATTAGATAGTAGTCGAAAAATTTTTTGAATTGTACAATATTTTACATCATTTTAAAGTATGTATTTTTACATAGCAAAATACAAAACTTGGCTGAAATCGGTCGAATAGTTCCTGAGAAAAAGGAGTCAAATATTTAAAATTCGATTTATAATAAGTGGATATTTATTTTTCGAAGAATAACTTACCAAAAAGTTGTTAGTGACAATATGGCAATGAGACCAGCTAGTGAAACATGAAAGTAAAACGAAGGATGGGAGTAATAGATATAACTTAATGCCAGTGTGATACCGAGAATTAGAACTTCTGCAAACATGATACTCTTGAATGGAATTTTGACCAGCTTATCCTTTTGCTTGACGAAAGGTTTGCATAAGCGCATTTTTCAGAGCTCTGAAATACTCCAACAGGATCTATTTTGTAGCATTACCTGAAAAATAAAAATTTATTTAATCTTCCTTGTCACTTTCGAATTTTTATCAATTTAATATGAAGGGTTTTTAGCTATTTAGTGGTAAGCCGCATTTTTTAAAAAATTAAACTGTTCATTAGTATAGCTTCCATATTGGTTCTTTTTAAATTTTCTACTAACAACACAATGTATTGCTGACATGACATTGTAGTGCTTTTTAGCAAAAGGCTCTTTAAAATTGCTCTTCTGAATAATTTGAAAATGTTGCTTACCATTATATTGAGCCAAATCCCTCATATGATTTCATAATTAATAATATTATGAATTGGTAAGAAATAATTATTTGAAAACAGAACAGAAAATTCAGGCACACTTGGAACAAGGATTTTTTCTTTACAAAATATATTGTTGATAATTTAAGAAAATAAAAAAATTTAACCCTTTTCGAGAAAGGTGTCAATTTTCGGAAGACTTATTCCAAGAATATTACAAAACGCTGGATATGTAAAATTATTTGCTTTGAAGCATCAACTCTCTTTCAGCAATCACTGTTCTTCAAACTAAGTCACTTCGTTTTGCAGTAATGTTATGTTAAAATACTTTAGGGATAGAGATTTATTAAAAATTTTTTATTTAGTTTATCTAAAATTAATTTGAATTTCAAGACCACTTCTTTGAGGAAAAGTGGGCTGGATTTTTACCTTTTGTAAAAAATTGGCAAACTTCTGTGCTTACAAAATAACCCAATTTATAAATTCTATATTTATAACAAAAAATAAACTCAATGAAAAATGATCAAATGAATGAAAGCATAATGCACAAAATCTTACATGAGGACCCTAATTTCCTTATTTGTCACCAGCATAAAAATGATAAAATTTATAATGGCATTTTTTACTTTTCAAAAATTTCTTTACACTAATTTTAATTACTTAATAATTATTCTTTATTAATTTTAATTATTTAATAATTATTCTTTACACTATTTTTTAATATTTACCATTAATATTAATTTATCATCCTATTTTAGTATTATCTGCTAATATTAAGGTTATTGTATTGATTACTATTGCGAATCAATGCTTTAAACTAAAAGTGGTGTTTCTTTATTAAAAAATATACCTATGACATTTCTTTACTATATAACCTTCTACGATAAACATATTTAAACATGTATGGAAAACACTAGCAAAAAAAAGTTTAGCGTGGAAAAAACTTCTTGAGAAGGCCAAGGCCCACCCTGGGCTGTCGAGCCATTGATGATGATAATGATCTAAACATATCAATCATTTTAAGATTATTAAACAGTAACCAATTTATATTAACTTCGAACATCAGCTTTATGTAAAACTGCATCCTAAGAGCATATGCGATTAAAATAATGAATTCACAATTGTTAAACTTCATTAGGGATAAACTTTTTGCATTGTTATCTGTCCCGTGAAAAATATTTAAGCAAATTGTTTTCGCGGATAATCGAAATTTAAAAAAAACAAAGTTTTAGATGAAGATGTAATGGTAACGAAGTTCAGGTTTTAATTTTCTTCCAATTAATTAACCGGAAATTAAATCTATGTAAATTCAATAAAAAGTTTTGGAATTTCTTTTATTTGAATACTTTTGAATTTTGATGTAGCTATCAATTTATCATTAATAAGTAAAAAATAATTGTACCAATCGTAGGAATAAGTGAGCGAAGCAAGCAGGGGCATAACCCACTAGTGTAAAATAAACTTAAAATGTTCTCGGAACAGTTAAGGTTCTCATCACATAAATTTGCACAGCGAATATTAATAAGAATTGAACAAGAATAAAATATTGAAAAGAAAATTTTTTCTTCCAGAAATCGGTATCTAGTTGCATTAGAGTTATAGCGCTTTTTAATAAGTTTACAAATGAGCGAGTTTAAATTGACTGAATAATTTAAACGCAAAAACAGATAGTAAAAATGAAGGTTGTAGAAATGTGCATAGCTAAAATTACATGATAATTTTTGCATAATAAGCGAAATACAGCATTAGCATAATATAATAATAACATAAAATAACAATGATAAAATAATGAACATAAATAATTGAAAGAAACGTTATTCTTCAAAAATTTATCCCATATTTTCTTCGGAGATGTATGCCTTTGGGGAAGTCATTGAAACGTTGCTAAAACAAACTGAAGTAGTATAAACGATGGTTATACGAATATCTTGTAATGTGGAATCAATATTTTCTTAAATTCAAGTATTTAAATACTGCTTTATCGCTTTTTCTTACCTTAAAACTTTTTTTATTCTTCATTATTGAGTAATGATTTTCATGCTAAGTCAGCGAACACTTTTTGAGAAAATGTAATTTAATTAAGTTCGCAAGGACTTATTTAACTCACAAATGCCACAATACGTTACAACTTTTTGAAAACTATTCACAAATTAGTATGTGTTCGTAATCTGTAGAAATTATAAATTGAAAAAATTAAATAAATTTTTATGGTAAAATATTTAAGTAAACGAATAAAAATTGAGAATTAGTTTACTGTTTCAAAAACGTCAAATAATTGTAACTTACTTGAGAATGTTCAACCGATGTCAATTTCAACTGTCTATTGTTTTGTTACATGGAAAACAAAAACGATATCACAAACACTTAAAAATTAAGTTCTCGTTTCTTCGATTTGACTGTCTTAAGAATAATTGATAACATTTTGACGAAACATCTTCAAATAAAAATAAAGAAAGATGAGTGATGAAATTCGCCACTTAAGTGAAGTGATACGTGGAATTTGATAAAAGTTTTATAAGGGCTTGAGAATTTTTCTTAATGTTTTCCTATCAGAAATAAGTTTTTTTTTAAAAATTATTTTCTCAAATGACTTAATATTCTTATGCCAAAAGTATTTTAATAGCTTTCTTTAAAAGTTTCGATTGTCATTCGAATTATAATCATTCATAAATAATGTATGATATGATGGCATATGATAATATTAAATTATAAATCCCCCCAAATATATAAGATTGAATTTTTTTTGCAGTATAATCTCGCAATTCAAAATTTTTAAATTTAGCGTTAATTTTTATATTCTACTTGCATTCAGAAACCATTTTCTTTTAGTGCTGCCATCTGTTTCGTTTTAAAGTAATTAGAGTTCCTAAAAACGTAAAATGATCTTATTAAGTTATAATTCACCTTAAAATTTAAAATTATTATTAACTTCTTCTATTCGCATGGAAATTAACTTTTAAATAATAGAAATATAAACAAGTTATAAACAACAGTAAAATGCACAAAAATTCTTTTTGAAGACAAAAAAAAAAATTTACGTAAATTAAAACTAGTTTATGAATGATACTTTTGGAGAAATCCCTAACCGAATATGATTGTGTTTAGTTTTCTGATTTATTGCAAAAAATAGCTGTTTAAATGAAAAGAAAGTTTTAGAAAAATTTGTGACTTGGATTAAATATTTTTGAGATTTCAAATTTTGATAGTATTTAAAATTAGGAAAACTGAGTATGAATCGTCACTAATTGTGTAATCTTAAAAAACGCCTTTTTTGCATTAATTTATATAAACGTTATGAAAAAAATTCGTTTTTTTTTTAAATTTTTGCTCTTAGAAATAAAACCGTAATGTTTGTATATCAATAAAAAAGAATTGCGTGTACTTATGCTAATCGAAGACATTTATATATTTGATATATGAAACGAAAGAGAAAATTAAAATTAACTACGGAATTTCACAACGTTGGTTATAAATTATAACATATTGTTTGGTGAGTTGTTTTTAGTATCCTTTACATATTAAAAATTGGTAAAATTACGGCCAATTTTTTTTTTCCGGAATAGATAAATGTGCAGTGGAAAGTTATAAGCAAGCATATTTGAAGACTCATCTTTGAATTTACAAGAAAAACATTAAGCAAAGAAAACAAATTAAATCAAACAACACACTACTTTCTGGAAAACATAATCAACGAGAGTATTTTACTCTCCCAAACATAACCCAACTATACACTTTTTTCAATCTTTTCATAGTTTTTCCCTACATATATAATATCTATCTGTCTTTATAAACAAGCATACATCTAATATTTAGTCAGAAACACTTGCATAATGAGGGTAATAAAAAATGCAAAAGCTAACACTTACAACTAAAATGTATTTATTTTTGTAGTTTTAATAGTTGCATTTGTTTATTTATGTCGAACTAGAGCAGCGCATTGGGCTGTTCGGTCTGGGAAACAACACCGAGGATGATCCGAAAACATGCCATCACAATTTTTATCTTCAGAGGAGGGGATGGCTCCCTCGTTTTGGTAGCTCAACGATCAAATGCTTTATAATTAATAATTTTTCCAGAAAAAAGACAATTTTTCATGTATTACAAATAATATCATTAAAAATAGAGTCGAATGTTAAAATTATTAAAAATGACTTTTTCTAACTTTTTATAATTATATTTGAATTTCAGATCAAATATTTATGCTCATTTTTCATATTGCGGTCAAAATGACCGCAAAATCTGCTTATTCCGGTAAAAATGACAGTAATGGTCGTTCTAGGTAGATAAAAATGTCAGCCGTTTTAGTGTTAAATATAATGGCTGGAAAGACGAACTTAAATATAATAAAATACCTATATTTTTCTTTCTATTGATTTTAAATTGTAGGAAATTTTCCAGAGAAAGTTATAACTCAACTGTTTCTTTTACTGAGATTTAATGAGGGTTCGTTTAAAATTGATGAGAAAGTAAAGGGTGTCATTTAGCTGAGGAAGTAAATAAAAACTTGCTTGAATAAAAAGAAAATTAATTCAAAATAAATTTTTGATTTACTCAAAACTAAATCTTCTTTTAACATTAGAACTTCCTTAAAAATAGTATTTGTATTTTTCCAAAAATTATTACAGTGAATCCTCTCTGGAGCACACTCTGTTTCATATAGTTAATGGAGGTTGGTTGTTCTTAAGAGGACACCATACAGCGAGAGATAATTACCGCCGCAAATTCTCTTTCATTACTAATTTAAAACTTAAAGTATAGAAAAAGTGAGTTCAGACAAACCTAGAGTAAGACATGAAGTTTCAAATACTGAAAAGAAAATTTTAAAATATGCGACTGAAAATAAATTATGAGAAGATAACTTGTGATTACGTAACGGAGAATATCTTTTCTAATAATTTGCTTGCATTTTAATGTTTTGAAGTATTTTTTTCAGCTATTGAAACTTCATGACTTACTCTTAGTTTGCCTGAACTTTCTTTTTCGTTCCTTTAAATTAGTAATAAAGGAGTAAGATAATTTGCGACAAAAATTGTCTTCCGCTGTATGGCGTCCTCTTAAGAGGCCTTCATACCGACTGCAACAGCCACAAATCGCATGTTGCAGAAATTTGACGCATGCGCATTTCTTCCCTGCTCTCGATCGCCGTCGCACTGGTTTCAAGAATTGGATTGAGTTCAATTTTCCTAGCTGTTGCAGACCCGTGAGCCAATCAGATTTGTTTTAACTCGTAACCCACGATTCTCAGTAAAGCCTCCATTGACTTCAAATTGTTATCGAAGGTATAATTCGTTCACCAGGAGTTGACACTTGGCCCCACCTCCTCGGACGAAGAGTTCATTTCAACAAGGGTGGAGAAACGTCTCCGCGTTTGAAATTCAGACAACCCTTAATGTGAGTCAAACGCAAACAATGAATTCTTTTTTAGTCACTTACTTCGCTTCATCATCTGATATTATACCTTTCGTTACTCTAGCTAATTAAATATATTGCAGTAAAATGTCTCAAAAAGGATAAACTATTCACTCAAAAAAGAGAAATATCATCAAATTTATGAAATATTTAATGTTAAAAAAATGCACATAAATATTGCGAAATAAATATTTTTGTCATACGATCGACAGATAGCAACCTTGTTCAATATTGTTCACTTCCTTCTCCCAAAAATAGCGAAATAGTATAGTCGGATACCACGTGATGAAAGTGGAGCCAAATGCCAACTCCCGGTGAACGAACTATAGATTATTTTTCGTTTTAGTCAAGAATTAAGTTTTAGTCAGTGTCATTTTCTGGGTGCAGAAATATCCCTTGTGTTGTCGTCATGAAAACCGGATTGATGAATAAAATTAAGGGTTAATAAAAATGATATCTACTGATATAATGTGTAACTCCTTTACACATAATTATGAATGATAAAGCTATTTTAAATAAATAAACAACTATATTTTTTTGTTTAAGCTTGCATTTGATTTTATATCATGAAAATTAGCTGGCTTTAAAAAATGAGAAGAAGTTTGTTTGCTTGAGATGCTTAATGTTTCCTAAAATAATTTTATTTCTAATTTATCTTTTGAATCTAAAAAATAAATCACTGATAACATCGTCTTTGGTGCACTCTGACTGCAACACGAGAATGTAGATCCTTTTCAGAGATGGTCAAAAAGAGCTTACACGTGAGCCTAACCCAATATGTGTGCCCAATAAATCTAAAAATAAATCAGTGATAGCATCGTCTTTGGTGCACTCTGACTGCAACACGAGATTGTAGATCTTTCTCAGAGATGGTCAAAAAGAGCTTACACGTGAGCCTAACCCAATATGTGTACCCAATAGGAGCCCTACAATATTTTGAATGCATTTTAATCTGCTTATTTGTTTTGTTAATATTTTTTGGTTTGGAATCTTTTCGCGTTTCCTTATTTGATCCCTTCCCTATTTGGGGGAGTGGTTTGCCCGGCCGTTGGGACAGGTTTTGATGGTCTTTTCTAAAGGTTTTCTTGCTCAAAATACTTTTTTCTTGCAGGTTTCATGTACTTAAACCAAAATGCATAGGAGATTGATATTTACTTGTTGTTCTTATTGTACTTTTTTGCTTATTGTTTAATGACGCTAGCAATGTAAATTGAAATATTATGATTTTATATCATAATTATCTGAGAATAAACAAATATGACGGAAGAATATTAAGACATTTATACCAACCACGTTAAAGGTTTTTTGCGTAATACTTTTTTATATAACTGAAAACAAAAATAAATTTTATTATATGGGCAATTTACAAATTTAATGAAAGAGCTTCTGAAAAATAGCTCTTTAATTAAGCCTACCAACTAATTTTATTATAATAAGTAAACTAGTCCCTTTTTTTTATTTAATATCAGTGAAAATGTAATTAATGACAAATAGTAAAGGCTTTTGAAACCATTAGCTTATGAGGGAATAAACTCTCTAAATTGACTTTTATTCTTCAACTTTCTTTCTTTTTTCATATATTGATATTTTTTTATACTCTTTTATGATAATCTTTTATGATAAAAGTTCGTTTTTTGCCTTTTTTTTTATCGTTATTCTTTAAAATAGCTGATTTAGATATTGATCATTAAAGGAAACTTATACAATGCATAAAAATATACAGAAAAGAAATTTGCTCTTATCGCTAATTAAGGGCTTTAAATTTTCTACAAGTTCATTTTTTTTAACCTCCTATGATATTTTTATCCGATGGAAATTTGCAATTAACTAAAAAGAATGCGGCCATAAAATTTAAACTTAATGATGTTTAAATCTTGCGAACTTTATTTAGTTTATACAATAAAATATTTACTCTCAAAATTTCACTTTAAAGTGCTGAAATTCTTGGATAAGGTTTCAGTTAATTTCGCTAAAACATTATTTTACATAATTTTCCATCATTTTGCAGATGTTTGGTAAAATTGTTTTCTTTTCTTTTAAATTTCAAAGGAAGAAGAAAAAAAATCAATTCTAAATATACCGAAAGTTCAAAGAAT